TTTTTCTTCCAAGGTGGTCATCGTGTGATGTTCCTTCTGAGTGCTCTGTTTGCCCCTCCTGATCACCAACTAGTGACCCATTTGGAAGAAACTCTCCTCCAGTGACCCATCGGCAATTGCGCTGTTCTCCGTTTCGTGCCTCTCTGTTGGGTGGCCTATTCGTGCAACGGGTTGCTGCCCCACGTCGAACTAGTCACCCGATCGGCTTCTAACTGCTGACCGGGCCCACTTCTACCTGCTGATCGGACTCACTTCCAATTTGACCCCCCATGGAGATATACCTTGTCACCGGCAACAAACACAAAAGACTGGAGTTCCAGCGGCACATGAATGGCGAGCTCGATTTTCACTTCGCCGACATTGACTGTGCGTAGGGAGAGTGGGGTGAGGGGGCTGTCCCCCATTTATCTCAAGGAGGGAGCGCTTCGCCGTCTCCCCCAGACACACGAACGTACAGTTACCTCGCCGCCCAACCGTACAGTTACCTCACCGCCCAACTGTACAGTCACCTCTACACCGGACTGTACAAAGCACACATATCCTTTCCCCTTGTGCCTCTCCTACCCCCCCTCTCAGTGATCGAAATGCAGTCCAACGACATCGTCAAGATAAACGAGCACAAGGCAAAGAGTGCTCATGAGATTCTCAGCACTAATGCCTCGGGGGAGAGTCAAGCCACACGGAAGCTAGTCATCACAGACGACACAGGACTGTATATGGATTGCCTGGGTTCCTTTCCCGGTCCATATATGTACGGTGCAGAGTGGCGAGATCAGCAACGATGCATGCGCCTTCATTGGCTAAGAGGCAGAGGTGATGGTGAGGCTTCCTCTGCTTCTGCTTCTACTACTTCTGCTGCTCCTGTTGGTGGGAATCACTTTCCCCCTCACTTCCTCTGGTGAGCCTCCAGTGTGAAACAATGACCGCATCGCTTTTCCTGGCCCCGTTTCAGCAAATGGATGCATAAGAGTTTGGGCTCGCAGGGAATCGTGGACGTGGCGATGAAGCTCCAGGTGAGTCCATCCCCGGCGCGGGGTGACAGTTTAGTGAGGGTGATCATATCGGCTGCCAAGTAGCAGTGTGGGATCTGCCGGGGGTGTGGCTTTCTTTCCACCCATTGGCCGCTTTGCGTGGCTGCTTTGCATGGCCGCTCCGTCTTGCCCCTTCACGTTTCATTGCTCGCCCTCACCCCATTTGCAGAATGACAAGTGCCATGCCATTTGCGTGTATTCCGTGTACGACGGGAAGGAGTTGCACTCCTTCGAGGGCGTCACCCAGGTAACGTCTTTCCCCTGGATGTTCTCATTCATCAGCAAGTTGTCCTCAGGGAACCCAGCCACGTGACCCCTCGGAGCAGTTGTCCATCGGATGAGAAAAAAAAAAAAAAAAATAGTGTAACGGTTGGTTCTTCTCTTTTCCTTTCTCCGACAATAACGTCATGGAATTTTTTTTTTTTTTTTTTTTTTTTTAGGGAAGGATTGCCGGTCCCCGAGGGTCGACTGACTTTGGCTGGTAGGTTACACACACATGGCCATTTGTTTGGTCCCGCGGCTGCATCATGCGCGCTCTCCACGTTTTGCACGATTGGCTCATTTTGCACATGTCGCATGTTCCGTTCCTCTTCCTTTACACCACTCCTCTCGCCCCACTCCACCTGCTTCACTCGCTTCATGTGCTTCCCCCCCTCCGCATGGCCCCCCCAGGGACAATATCTTTTCCCCTGAGGACTGCAGCAAAACGTTCAGCGAAATGACATTCGATGAGAAGAAGGTATCCTCCCCACGTTTCAGGGCCTTCCTGCAGCTGAAGGTGGGTCTCAGAGGGGAAAGGGGAAGGAAAAGAGAAGCAAAGGAGAAGTGCGTCTCTGCATAGTCCGCTTGAGAAGCCCGTCCACATGGATACCGTCGCCTCCCCTCGTATCACTTCTCCTCCCTTCACATCCTTCTCTTCTTTTTGTGCTTTCCCCTCGCTAGGCCTTCCTGCTGGAGCAATTGAGCAAGCAGAGCTCGTAACGTTGTTCGCCCTCCGCCAGGCTCAGCGTCTCCCTGAGTCGGAACTCTGGACAGTCCACATAGCGGGTAGCGATAGGGGCTCCAAACTGGCGCAGAGCGAAGCCGCAGAAAGGCGTACAGAGACGCTGTAAACGAAGGGAACTATCCGTGTATACCTTTTTACAGCGGAACGTAATGCTGCTTACGGTGGATGAGGACCCGGAGGAGCTGAAGAAGGAGGCCAACGCCAAATGGGCGAAGGTAAGGGTATTCCCCTTCTGAGTTTTCCTCGGTCTTTATCCGTCTGTGTCGTTTATCTACATCTGTCTGCATCTGCCTGTGGCATGTGTTTGCCTGTGAGGAGGCAGAGCCTTGTGCAGACGTCGCTGTCCACGCATGCACTAACATCGCCCACTGATCCTCCCCCACGAAAGGGCGATGCGGAGGAGGCGAACGCCCTTTGGAGACAGGCACTGAAGGAATGCATTAAATACTCCATGAGGGGATTCCCGACGAAGAAGAACACAGACATGCAACTTAGCTTGCGCCTGAACATATCCCTTTACCACTTCAAAAAAGGCGAATTCCATGAGTGCATTAACCAGTGCGACATCATTTTGGAGGGCGTGACTGACCTGGACGGAGTGCTTAGTCGCTACGAGGTGGACGCTAAGGAGGCGGAGGAGGCACCCGCAACGATCACAACGAATACGAAGCAGGAGGAAGACACACTCGCAAAGGCGCGCGAAGACGGCACGTGCATGCTCAGCAGAGATACATTGGTGAAGCTTTTTCTCCGCAGGGCGCATTCCTATCTGATGCTGCAGGTGAGGTGCTGCATAAGGGAAGGGGGCACCCTCTGTTACGCAACAGATGTTTGTTATTTGCCCATCATAGATTGTCCCTTCGACCTCTTCCGCCATTCCACTTCTTCCTACACGCCACATGTTCCCTCCTTCCTCATTTCCACCATCACAGGAGTTCGACAAATGCAGAGAGAATCTGCAGATGGTCAAACGAATCGACAAGGGGAATGCAGAGGTGATAAGTTTAGAAAGGAAGGAACAAGTGGAGCGAGCCGATTATCAAAAAATGCAGAAGCAGTTGTACAGGCGAATGTGCAATCCGAGTGGTGCGTTGCATGGGTCCGAGGAGAAGGGATGAAGGGGGGGGGGGACAGGCTACTCCTAGGATACACTGCTGCTGGTACAAGCTGCCGCTAGGATGATGATCTGCACGCCGTACATGTGCGGACGCCTCGCCCAAAGAAGCCGCTTCTCGAGCAGCCCTCTTCTGTGTCTTTCCCCGGCCAAAGATGCAAAGAAGGACCCGTCCTGTCAATTTGATCAGCATCTGTACCGATGCGCAGTCTGTCAAGGGACATATACCCCCCATGAACGATTCGCGAGGAACTCTCCAGTCGTTACGCAACCGGTATGGACTCGTGTAATAGGTCCGCCCCTTCTGTGGGGGCTCCTACTGATGAGCTCTCCCAGAGATTTTTACACCAGAGAGGTCCTCATTGTAATTTTCTTTGGACACAGATATGCATACCACCCTCCGCGCCGTTGCCCCTTGGGCGGTGGACCCTCACGACATGTGCTGGGTGTATTCACCTGCACGGGTCAGGCGAGAAAAGAGCAAACCTCTATTCCCCAAACGGGAGAGACGTGACTTTTACATGCGGGGGCGTTCCTCTCAATATGTTGATTTGTTCCTCCTAGTGTATGTTTTCTTTTCTTTTGGACCCCCTCCCACTGGACTTTTCAGGGGGATACAGACCGATCGCTCCGATCGCTTCCAACGGGCACAACTCTTCAAACGCGAACAACTCTTCAAACGCGAACAACTCTTCAAACGCGAACAACTCTTCAAACGCGAACAACTCTTCCAACGCGTCCATCACTCCAATAAGTTTTCAAGCTCAGTCCAAATATCTGTGAGTCGCATATCTCTATCCCCGCTGCGAGGGTCCGACAGTGCAGACACAGGAATGGGGCGGCCGCTGTCATAGGGCGAGCTTGCCTCAGCTGACATGTCTGCCCCTTTTGAGATGGAAAAACATAGTAAACAGAACAATCGCAACGATAGGAAGCAAACTGTCATTGCCATTCAGAAGGGGCTTAACATTACTCCCCATTTGTGCTTTTCGCACCTTGAGGTGATAACTACGCGAGCTGCCCAAACTTGTTATAAAAAAAGGATGATTGGAGGAGCAACGGAGTGGCAGAGTGACGCGCTATAATGCATAAATTAATTGCCCCATTTTGACTTAACACCTTTAAAGTGTGTCCTGCTCCCCTTTTCCAGGGATATCCCAAACTGGCATGTTCTTTTTTTTTTTTTTTTTTTTTTCCGCTCCAAGTGAGATCTCCTTTGGGCTGGCAACACGTCATCCAATTATGTATGAACACGTGCAGGTTAAAAGCAACAATGAAAAAAAAAAAAAAACGCTTCTGGAGATTTTCCTCCGGGTGATGTAGAAACAATCGCGGGGCGGGTGCAGGACAAACGGGATAGCGATGGGAATAGCGATAGGGATAAAGAAGGAGAATGCTCCTCCTTCGAGGGTCTGCCTCGAGCGACTGGGTGAAGTGGTACCATCCGCGCAGTTCCTCCAAAGGAACAGCTCAATGCTCGCGTGGGAACCTCACCCACCATTTTATACATCACGCGAATGAATAGGAAAACGCCCAAAAGGGGAAAAAAAAGAAAAAAAAAAATACCCGCTAAGTAACACATAATTGAAAGGAAAATAGAAAGAAGAAAAAAAACGAATGACCACTGTGATGGAACACACCCTCAAGGAAGGAAGTGGAGCAGGAAAGAAGGACACACCTCATTTTTTGCGACAAGTGTTGCGGAGGAGGGGAGTTCTCCCAATAAGACGTTCCAACTGTGAAGAGTAGTCACGGGGAGGTGACTTCTGCAGTTAACCACGAAGGTATGCTCCCCTAGGGGAAGGAAAAGAATATTACCGACGGCACATGCGGAAGCAGGATGAAACACCAAGGGGGAGGCTTCAATCGAGATGAAAAAGGCCAAACGAGCGCTGCGGTGGAAGTCGTCACTGCATGGGAGAGGACGGAAGAAGGGATCGAGCAAGCATCCTCCAGGCGAGAACCGCAACAGGCTAGAAGGGCATCTCAAGAGGACGACTCGGGTGGGGAACCCCCCTATTCAGTGATTAATCAACTGGCTTATCCACACGGAGGGCGAATGAAAAGATTGTTGACCCCTCCGGATAAGGCAAGGGCAGACATCAGCCCCAGGGTGAATGATTCACCATTTGGTGTCACGGACAGAGGACAACATGTCGCAAGTGAGGCAGAGGAACTAGTTTATGCGGCCCCTCACTTTCGCCGCAGCTACGAAAGTGAAGATGCCCCATGGAAGTCAACCCAGGAGAGTTTAGATGATGTGGAGAGGCGGCACCATGAAGGGGGTGCACCATCGAGCGAGGATAATCGCGAAGCGGGAGAAATGTCCCTACGTGGTGAGGAGGCCCGCCAAAGTAATGATGAATCCCTGCGTGGTGAGGAGGCTCGCCAAAGTAATGATGCATCCCTGTTTGATGACGACAGCATAGGCGAGGAGTTCGGCCCAAGTAATGATTCATTCCTCCGTGGTGAGGTGTCCCCAAGGAATGAGGCTTCCCTACGTGGTGAGGACAGCGCAGGCGAGGAGGATCCTCTGGGAGAGAGCCTCGACGAAAAAGAGAAAAAAATGGTTTATAGGAAGGCCGACGAGATAATAAACGGGGACGGCGGGGGGGGAGAGGACTGGCTGTTAAGCGAGGAGGAGCACTCAAGTGGGGAGATAGAAAGCGACGAACAGCCAAATGGGGAGGCGGAGGGGGCTGAGAAGCCAAGTGAGCAACCGAAGCAGCCACGTGCGGTGAGGAGGCGCAGCCTGCCGGATCGCCGCGCGCTAAACCTGACCGCAGGGGAACTGCACGCGTTTCTGAAGCGGGACAAGTACCGCCTGACGAAGATGAGGACGCGCATGAGGAATGTGGTATATAGGTACCTCTACCAGAGCGCAAGGGCGGGAAGTCAGCCAACTGAGAAGCAAACCATGAGTGGTGAAGCATCCAGCATGCCAAACACACACACGGCCAAGGCAAAGACAGACGTGGCCTCCTCACAGGACGTCGCAAACCTTCTCTACACCGAGTGCACCATACGCAAGACAAGAGTGGCGAAGCTGAGGGACGTCGCTAAACTTGTCTGTGACAGGAGAAACGACAGATGCATGCAGATTTTGTGCTACAAAAATGTGTACGTGTTTGACGGGTGGGGTTGCAGACCCGAGAATTGTTCGGCTGGTGGCGCGGAGGGGGGAGGTACCCGACACAGAGAAGTCACCCCCCAGAGAGGAGGAGCCCCTCATCGGAGTCCTCCTCCCACTTGCCGCTTCACCTGCAACAACCACTTCGTATGTCTTCAAAGAGAAGAGGACGAGGTGCACGTGTTCAGTCACAAGGTGCTAAGTCTAAATGGGGTCATTTTTTTTAAAGACAAAGAGAGCAAGACGACGAACGAGGAGCAATTGAGGAGATTCCTGGATGACTTAACATGCCCTGGGTTCGAAACGAACTGTAAAAGGATTAAGCTCGACTGGCGAGCACACCCCTTTCACATCATTAGGGACCCCTCGTGGAGAAAAATCAAGAGCATCCACCTTAACGTGTCGAATCATCTGTGTGTATGTACAGAGACAGGCACATTTGTGTACCAACTAGGTTTTATGAATGGAACGATTCAGATGAATTTTAGCGGGAGCTATCCTCATCAGAGTGAATCCCTTCTAAAGGAGAATGACCTGTTAGAAGCCTACCTACATAGCGACAAGAGGATGATCCATGTCAGTCATCGCAATCTTTTTTTGCTTCATCGGAACGGCAAGTTTTTTAAGGGTGATCTCTTCACTGTCGTTAAGGACATCCAATTTAGGCAGCGCATTTTAAATGTCTCCTTTTGTGGTGACTGGATTATACTCTCTTTTAAGAACAGAGTGTCGGTTCACCATAAGGTCAGTGGGAAAGTCCACTTCGTTCTTCAGATTGACTCACAGGGGGATGTCCTCGGTGCGGAGGTGACCCAGAAAGACGCCCAAGTGATGGATTCCCCACATGGTAGCGAGCCAGCCAGGTTTGGCATCTCCTCACCGACGCATCACATCCCATTCTTGTGCCCCCTACAAGGGGATAACCTCTTCTGTCTGGCCTACGGAAGGAAGATAGCAATATTGGAGCATTCCACTCATATTGTTATTCGGAAGAGATTTATGATGAGTCACACCGTGCAGCTTATTAGATGCGTCCGAAACGACATTCTGGTCACTTACGGGGAGAAGGAGCTGCACGTATTCCAGGTGCTCTCCGTGAAGAATGAATTTACTCTCCTGTTTTTTTTTAAGAAACCAGTGAGGGACGCCAAGTGCTGGAAGATACATGACGAAGGAAAGACGTTTGAAGTTTATCGTGATGCCATAAAGGTGAAGGTTAAGTTGGTCAAAATCAACAGGGATGACGAAGTGGCGAGGCGGATCTTTTATGCGCTCAATGGGGGGGCAGAAGGGGGTACAACAAGAGAGGAAGCAGGGAATGGGGGTGCAACAAGAGAGGAAGCATGGAATGGGGGTGCCACAAAAGAGAGTGCCCATCATGGTGGTACTCAGCTCGGTGATCCTTCCATCCACGCCGCCCCTTCTGGACGAGTCACACATTTCTACGTTAACCTCCTCTACATTTACGTTTTGGACGGAGATCGACTTGACCTTGTGGTGGTGAATTCGCTGGTTTATTTGATTTACCTGCTTTTCAGCCATCACAGGTATGGCCTGCTGCTGGCCCTGATGCTGCACTTGTACAGGGTAAGTGTGTGGGAGAGGGGGAGACTTTCCTACCGCTGCGGATCACTCCTCACCTCTGCTCATCATTCCGCGCCGCTCCCCACTCCCCCTCGCAGGGAAACTGCTGCGCGCTGACGGACTTCCCTGTGGATGAGGACGAAAGAAGGGACAAGCTGAAGCCGCTGTTCCACTTCCTCTTCGAAAGAAGAATGAACGATATAATAAGAAACGGAAACAAGTTTGGGAGGGATCCACGCAACAGCATTTACCATGTGGAGGTCCAAAATAGGGAGTGCGATCAGGATGGAGAAGTGAAAACAAAAAACGTTTCCAATCGGTGCATCCACACATCGAACAGTGTCTCAGGGAGTGTCGAGATAATGGGAGCATCTTCTGAGTCCACCGCTTCTCCGTCGATGGACCGGTCGATGTCTGAATCTGTCACTGTTGCGTTAAATGATAAAGTGCCCATCGGTCAGGAAGAAGACGTCCCGGAGTGGTTACTCCCCTCCCGTGGAGGAGCCAACCCTGAGGAAGAACTGCACTCTGAAAGGGGACAGGTCCTTATCGATGGGAGAGTGATCTCACCTAATTGCATCGGGGAGCTCCAGAAATTGTGTCTCCTCGGCATAGAGATCAGTATCCATTTCAATATGAACCTTTACGAGCACATGTTTCAGCTGCTTAGGCGGTTCGGTGCAGAGATTATCTATTTCCATCTCATCGAGGAATACATCGTGAGGAAGAGGATTGGAATGACTCACCATTCTGTTGTGTCTAGTCTGACGGAACACTTCAAGCGGCTGTACAGGATCTTCTCCGAGTACGACGACTCATGTTACGATGTATTTCTGTTCTTTTGCAGCCTCGTTGGGGTGGGAGGCGGTGGCCTGAGTGGGGAGCCACCGAATGGGAAGTATCTAAATGAGAAGCGTCTGAGTGAGGTTGTATTCTCGCCTTTGGGAATGGGCGGCCATAGTAGCGATGGAAGTATTAGCGGGCGTGGCGATGAAAGTATTAGCGGCCAGGAGGATGAACGTGTTGTCGGGCAGGACTATGTATGTATTGGCCGGCGTGCCGATGAACGTGATGGAGAGCTCCCCGAGCAACACTTGCCTGAGCAACACTTCCCCGACCAATGCTGCCCCGACTTGGACACGCACCTGTACCGCCACCACCTAGGCGCGAAGGACATTTGGAGGAAAATCCCAAGGGTCTATGCCTTCGTGTGCATAGTGGAGATGTTCTTCCGCCTTTTTGAGAGCATAAGCCTGGAAGGGGACATAGAAGGGATCATTTCGCATCTGCCGATTCATCTCAGTGCCTTCCTTTACAACAAACATAATGAGGACAGAATCACCACAGCAGAGTTTTTCATTTCTTATCTTATCAGAAAAAAGAATAATCTGTTTTACAGCTTCTGCAGATGTAGCGGCTTGAGGACAGACGAGCTTCCGATTTACCTGCCCATGTACATGTACCGAAATTTCTACCATTCGTATTTTATCTTCGACTACGTCTTCTCCATCATGTTTAAACTACCCTTCAGCATCAGCTTGAACCGATTTGCAGTTCCTTTGGAGGAGGGCATCACTCTGAGGAGTTGCCATTCAGACGTGCACACGAGTTACCAGTTCGACGACACGCTGAATTACAGAGATGTCTTTTTTATCTTTTCTCCTTTTCGCGTGGTGAGAGAGAACCACTGCACGTTGAACCGGAACATTCTGTCGCTCTGGCGGTACCTCCTAGATGGAGCCGACTGTCGGGTTAGCGGGGTTAGCGGCGTTAGCAGTGTTATCGGCGGTAGCCCTGTTGGCCGCCTCACTGGTGATAGGGGAAGCCCTCTGGAATTTCTCTCCTCCCCGGGGGGAAGCGCAGACGAAGAAGCCACCTGCCGGCCAGGAAGAAACGACCAACAGAGGGTACATAGCATACAGATGAACGATTATTTTAACCTCGACAAAAACGGCATCTTCCTCCTCCTGCAGCTATCATTAAAGGACACCTTTTATCTCTTAAATCGTACCTTCTTCCAATATGACTTCATCGATCACTACGATGTGGTTAATCTGTTGATTCGTAATTTGTGCTATTTTTACCTGCACATGGTCATAACTTTTCTCTTTTACGTCATGTACTTGAGAAAGGTCTTGATGAATAACTTATCAGAGGAGACGTGCGTCCAGATTTATAGACAAGTCCTTATCGCTGTTAACAGATGGAAAGACTACGATGAAGTTAGTGACCTTTGTTTCAGGCTGGCCCATGTGATCGAAATGGAGAGACACACCCATGTACAGAAAAATCTCTCAAGCATAGTCAGGTGGATTACGTTGCAGCTTTTTTATATAAACAGACATAGGAAGGAAATGGCTTCCTCAATAACGTATTTGTTGATTCTCTTTTTCATCCTTCAGAGTGGATGTGGTGATTACTCCTTCGATTATCTCTTGGGGGTCCATTTTGTAAACTTCCTATTGCGACTATCCTGTGGGGGGGGGTCCCAAGAGCATCCGATCGGATCAACCAAAGGAAGGCGCCGCTTCGAGAAACTCACCAAAATGTGTTTTCACTTTGCGAATCAGACTTATCTGAATAGGAGCAGGCGACACGTGAAAGAAGAACACTTCTTTCGAACCTTTCGTTTGAAGGAGAGCAACTTGCGCGTAAAGAAGAGGCAAATCAGGAAGAACGTTGAGGGGATATCTTCACCGCAGGGCAATTTGGTGAATTACCTGTTGGGAGCGGTGTACAACGTCGACGTGGCTGCCCTGCTTCGTCAGCATAGGGGTGATGGGGCCAGTGGCGAGGAGCGGACGGAAAAGAAGAACCACTGGAGAGGCCACTGCACCGTGCCGAATGAACGGGTAACGCGACTAGAGAGACGTGGTGACGGCTGCGCGTTTAAGAGGGTTCCCTCCAGGCGTGCGGGGAAATCCGCAGCGGGAACCTCAACAGGGAGCTTCTCATCGGGGAGCATCTCATCGGGGAACATCTCATCCGGGGGAGTACCTTCCGGGGGGGAACCAACCCCAGCTGGGAAGACAAAGAAGGAGCAAAACCAGGGCGACATTTTCTGTGTCAAGTTCTGCAGGAGGAACTGCGGGTATATCCTGCTGCTGTACGTGAAGAGGCTGTTGGTGCTGCACGGGGGGGGGCGGTCCCCTGGGGAGGAAAAGCGTGAGAAGGGGAGGCCCTCAAAGATTCGCTCAGAGGGGAGTCATCCAAAGGTTCACTCAGAGGGGAGTCATCCAGAGGTCCTCTCAGAGGGGAGCCCTCCAAAGGTCCTCCCAGAAGAGTGTTCTACTGAGCTCCCCTCAGTGGAGAGCCCCGCACAGCTCCGTACAGACACAGCCCCGCATCGACGCCGCAGGAGAGATGTGGAGAAACTTCTCCGATATATCCTCTTCTTCACCCAAGTGCGAAAGTGCGAGCCGGTCTATCTGCTCCTCCTGAATCACTTCGGTCGTTATGACGTTGTCCTGAATCATTACAGAAGCAGGAGGCAGTGGAGAAACATGCAGGCCTATATTTTTGGAAACATTTTTTTTTTTTTTAAAGAGAGGAAAGTGAAGAAGAGGCTCCGTGGATACCTATTCTATGCGGACGTGTTGGAGCACATCGATGTGATGGAAGACTTCTTTGTGGACTACATTCTGGGGAACTATGCCGCGTTTCATAATCGCACGGTGAGACTGCTCCGGGGGGCAGCAGCTCCGAAGGAGTCACTGGACAATGCCTCCAACAGTGCCACCAAGAGCGGCATGAGGAAGGGAGACCCGAAGAAGCAATGCCGATGGGGGAAGACACACCTGATGAGCCTGTGTAAGGTATTCACTACGACACTGATTCGATGCCGACACTTCTCCGACGTGGTGAAGCAGCGAGTGTATTATCTCCTTCTACACCAGGCTCGTATGCCCATCCCGATTCAGAGGTACCTCCACGAAAAGATATTCTATGCGTACCTAACTCTCCTCTGTAAATACAAGAGGGATCATGTGTACAGGTGCGTTAAGTATCTTCATGTGGAGAAATACAAGGATCTGTTTGAGCGTCATGGCAACATCAATGTGTTGCTTCATCTCCATGAGCGGCAGGGGAAATTCCTAAATATCATAGACCTCTGTCTTAAGATTATCAAGGAAAACATTTTAAAGCTGAAAGATATTTTTTTTCGACGGGGAGATTGGTATGTGCCGGAGGACCTTACCTACGGGGATGTCTTCTCCGTTAGATTTTGCAATCGAATCGATGTCTACGATTTGTATGCCATGCCGTTGAAGCGGAGTGTCCGCAGGGTAGTCCTCCCAAGGGGGGAGCAGCATCAGCAGGAGCAGCATCAGCAGGAGCAGCATCAGCAGGAGCAGCATCAGCAGGAGCAGCATCCGCAACTGCTACAACACCAGGAGGATGCCTTAGGGGGGGGCGTCACCGAGAGGGACTCATTTGTGGGGAGGCTACTCGGCCGAGCGCACAGCGCCGCGGATAGGAGCGCGTTGGGGAGCTACTTCGTGAAGACGCCTCGATGGGGGGGCAGGCCAAAAAGGAAACGACCGAAGAGGGCGGCCACAATCGGGAGGGGCCCAATCGAGGAACCGAAACGGACCGACCCAATTGGAGACGCAAAGCGGGCACGCCTTCGCCAGGCGTGCCGCATCTTTCTGACCCGCGAATACAATGTCGTTTTTCTGTACACCTATATGCTGGCCTTTGTCCTGCGGAGGAACAAGCTGCACTGTGATCGGATTAATGAGTACGTTCTGTTTTTTATCGTCAACGAGTGCGTGAGGGGCTTCATCGGGGTTTGCCAGCATGTGGGAGGCGGGGCACAGGTGCAACGAGGTGAACGATGCCTCTTTGGAGAAAAAAAGGGGCATTGCACAGGTTCGCGGCGGTCAAGGCAGTCAGAACGATCGGAGCAGTTGGGACAATCGGGACAGTCAGAACAATCGGGACAGTCAGAACAATCGGGACAGTCAGAACAATCGGGACAGTCAGAACAATCGGGACAGTCAGAACAATCGGGACACTGGGAACCATCGGAACAATGCCAACCTTCAGAAAAGACCTACGAGGAGGCACCCCCCCCAGAGGAGATTGCATTCTTTAGATACCTCTTCGATCAAATAGTCCTCTTCGCCATCAACATAAGCTCACATCGACATGTTCAGAGGATCTGCAGACAGCTGTTGGCCAAGTATCGAAGGTTTGAAGTGAAGCTCGTGAGACCTCCTCTCATAGGACTCTTAAAAAACCTGACGGAGACGTACTCTCTCTTTAGTGACAACTGCCACGTGTCGGAGAAGCGGATAAAGAGACAGATAGAGACGTACACATTTGAAAGGAAGAAGGGGCTCGTGGTGGATTTTCACGTGGACCACACGCACCCCTTCAACACGAAGCTGTTCGCCAAGAGGAAGCAGGGGGGATCGGCGGCAACCCGGCATCGACACGCTCAGCCGAGTGAGCCCAATCAGCCAAGTCAACCCACCCCGCAAGAACAGAAGGAACTGCCTCCGAAAAGCAAAGATTTCGCCGCCCTTGGTGATGCGCTGTGGCTGAGCAAGTGCGAACACGGGCACCACTTCGCCTGCTCGCAGAGGTGCCACCTGTGTGGCGCGGGCTCGAGCGCGGAGCAGTCCAGCAAGTCGGTCGCCTAGACCGGCCATGTGCACCCTCACGGCGGCGCGAAGGCGGAGTAGCCCCCCCGACTAACTCAGCTTCTGTTGGCGCGTCCGCTTCTGTTCATTCCCCTTTCATTTTTTTCCCTTTTTATTCAATTTTGCTTCTTTCTGAGCTGCGAAACCGACGCTGTTGTGGGTGGAAACACGTCCCTCCTACGTCAAGACGCACTCACGTGTGCACGCCCTTCACCCGTTGCCGCGGTGGTGAAAATGGTAAAAATGGTGAAGACGGTGGAAAATGTATCCCTTGTTGTTTCCCCTGTTGTCTCCCTTTTTGTATCACCTTCCTGTGAAGCGCAATTCGTTCAGCTCAAATGGGCTCCTCTGTGATATTTTCTAACGGGGTGGTGGCCATTGCCTGAGCATGCGGCGTTGTACTAATGGTGTGTTCAATTAAGGGGTGAGGGGATCCTCTCCCGTGGCCACTTCCCCTCATATTACGCGTTGCCGATTGGCACGTTACTGTCCCTGCAGCTGGAAGAAGAAATCATACCAATCGCAGGGACAATCACGCTTCCATTGTAATCTCACCATGTGCAGAGTGGGCCACTTAAAAAGAAAAAGTGCCCCTGAAATGGTGGGCCGCATTATTGCTAAGTTTTTATTTTCTTTTTTTGTATACCCATAATCATGCCAGCTTCATCGGGCGCGTCGAGACCATACGACGTTTCCTCAAACGGGGGGTTTAACACGTGGGCTGAACGAACAGGTGTGCCGAGTGCAGTTGTATTGGAGGAAGGTGTACCCGGTCCGCTTCATATGCCGCCGTTTGTGCAATTGGTGAGTCCCCCAACGGATCGGCGGGTTAGTAAGATGGCGCACTCGAGTTATTGCATGGGGGCTACTATCTTTGCACCTGGAGAGGAATCCCCTCTTCGTTCGGTTCGTTTCCGTTGGGTTGCCTCTTGTCCCGGCTTGCGCCACATGGATCGAATGGTTGCTTGCGCAACGATTGCCGCTGTGCATTTGCAGTGGTGTAGTGTCATGCGATAGGGCTTTATATATTGCCGTGTATTTTTCTCCTCCTCAGTGAGCCGATCCCAAGGCTAGGAAACGCCACATGCCAGGGCGGCACTCAGGATTTTCCCACCCCCCTCAGTAGTAAAAAATAAAATAAAACACATGCGTGGTGATTGTATATCCTCCCCTCGTTAAATGCCCCCATCACACCGTATGTGCATCCCCCACGCGAAAGCCCGCTTCCCCCCTTGCCTTGTTCTCACGGCCGCACTTCGTCCTCCCTCCCCCCGTGTGGCATTTTTTTCTTTCCTGTTTTGCGCCCTTCTCGTATTTTTTTCCAGCCATTTTAGAACCACACAAATGTAATGATTAAACAAAACGAAAGAGCTTTGAAAAAAAAAAAAAAAAAAAGCAGCTATTTTAAGAAGCCCCCCCCTTCGAACAGAGAACCATTGGAATAAATAAAAGAAACAGAAGAAAAAAAAAGAAAAAGAAAAGAAAAAAAAAGAAAAAATCAGGTGAGTAAATCTCTGCAGAGCAACGCATCCACTGAGGGCATGCTCATGTTCATACCATTCGCGAGATCCAGTTCTGCACGTTTTGTGTAAGATCGAATGCGAGGCCGTTGCTTGTTGGGCTTATCTCAACTGTGTGGATGGCTGTGTATTCCCCCATCCCAGCTACGTTCCGAGCTACGTTCTCCCAGCTTCGTACGGGGGGGAACCATCCTTGAGTGAGACTACTCCACTGTGCGCCGGTGTCAAGAGGGCATTCCCACTTGGTCATTTTCGTGAGGATTAGTAGCGACTAATTGGCTTGCCTCCCATCCTTTCCCTCACTTCACAGATTTGAGGAGACGACCAACTTTCCCCATCGCAGCAGATACAGTGTCCCGCCCTGAAGCCACTCTGCACACGGGTCGATACAGGGATAGGTCTGTCGCCATCCACTCGTTAGTGTAGTGTGCATTTGTTTCCTCGCTTCACATACACGTGTGCAGAATAGGAGGCCTCTATCGCAGTGTGTTCCCCGTACGTTCTCCTCCCCAGGAAGCGCCAACTGCGCTGCAAGTGCTACCCCCCTCTGAAGTAAGCCTCCTCTGCGCAAACCATGATGCTGATGAAGTGCTCAATCGTAGTTGGCCTCCTAATGCTGGTGAGCAGCGTGACGGGGAAGTCCAACATATCGAAGTGCCTTTTTTACGACAAGAGGAATCACGAACTGAAGCAGACGTTTTATGTGCCTACGAGCGACGTGGACATGTATAAGGCTACCATCCAGAAGCTCCTCACGAGAGAAATAAACCTCCTCGACGAGTCCATGAGCAGAATCGATGAGAGTGGTAGCAGCGGCAACGGAAGCGGCAGCACTATTTCCAACTTTGACGAAATAAAAAAAAAGGAAGAAAAAAAAAAAAATAAAGAAATTGAAGAAAAATTAAAGTACATAGAAAAGTACAGAAATTACGCAAGGAGCATTTTAAAAAATGTCGAATTTAAATGTGAAGACATCGAAGACTATGAGTCCAAAGTTAAATGCAATCTGTGTGTATACACAGAGATTGTAAATAACAAACATATAAGGCAGGGACAGATTATTCAGATTTTTATGAATGAATGCATGTATGGTTTTTATTACTATGACAATATTAGCCAATACACTCAGAACAACAAAGCGGTTAGTAGCTTCGCAGAGGAGGAGAGCAATTCACAATCCAAATTGGACGACATTTACTTCAGCATCACTAAGGATGTCTCTGAGGGGAACACGAGCCAGATCAACTTCTTCAAGCAGCCCGCGAGCAAGTACCACCCGGTTTGCTACGTCACGGAGTAGGGGGGCAGATAAAAGCGGCGTAGTAGAGAACCGGCCAAGCGGCCCAGCAGACAAGGGGGATAACATGCAAAAAGTATGGACGGATCAGGCGAATATAGGGATTAGCGGCGTAAAAATATGACCCATTCAGCCCAATATCGCGGATAACTTCTAACGGAAAAAAAAACAGTCGAGCGACCGCAGGGCGGACGCGCCGCTCAGAGGTCCCCAAACACGTAACCACTTGCGAGCCACGCATGTGTGTTTCGCGCGGCAGGCCCAAGCGTTATCAAACTTATCTAGAGTAAGTTGTGCCTTTGTCTACCAAGCCAGTGAAGCCAACTGGAAAAAAAAATAAAAGAAGCCACACATGTGTAACTGCAAAGCATTACGTACACAGACCGTGTGTGCCTCAATGCATTCACAACTTAGTAGTCACCACCACACCAGGGGGCGGCATCCTTCTTGGAGAATCAATGCGCAGTGCGCCACGACGGAGTGCATGCGCTGTGTAGTCCATCCTGCATGTTTGCAGTTCTTATGTGTCACTTTTTCCTCACCCCCCCAAAAAAAAAAGAAAAAAAAACCATGTCATTTTTTTTTTTTAAAAAAGACTCCTATTAATACACAAATGACGAAAAGTTTTTTTTCTCCCCCTGAGTGTGGAGCGTTCCCGCAGAATGTTTCCTCCTTCGGGGATGTGTTGTTTCACGCCATAGGTTTAATGAGCACAGGCGCCCTCCGTTTCATGAGAGGGTTGAGAAGTGCTTTCCTCGCAAGGCGGTACACTTCGGCATGTGTTGTGCTATCCTCCCTCGGCGCAATCAGAGCCAGAGGAGTAGTCCCTCCTTTGGATGACTCGACACGTGCGCAAGTGCACCTCGTCCCAGCCCAGACACATACAGAGATACATATGCAGATACATACACCGACACAAATACACCTCCAACAAACGATGCGCACATCACATCTTCAGGGTGCGCACGAATTGCCTCCTATCGGCGTACAGAAACTTGTGGCTGTTTTGTAAGAGGAGCTGGCTGGTGATTCCCCCCTCCTCTGTGTTCCCTTTAGCGTGGCAGGTGGGGTTACTATTACTGCTGGCATCGTGCGGACAGATGCCGTGTGCTCGCTCGGTGATGTGGATAGGGATGCGAAAGGTGAGACTATAAATGTTATCGTCGAGGAATTCGTTCAGAGAGAGAGAGCCAGAGTATGTTCCGCCTGGCGGATCGGCTCCGTTCGGTTCGTTGGTCGTGCCCGATTGGTTGGATCCCTTCTGTTCATTGACTTCATTAAGATTGTCGCGTTTGTTTGTTTCGTCTCTGTCTGTTTCACCCCCTTTGTTCGGTGCGTCCCTCTTGGGAAGGCAGAAGAAGTCAAAGTCGAGGAGGTAGCCAACCCTGACTGTGTCATTTGAAAAAGAAGGAACAACGTCTTCACCAAGAACAAAGCTCACATTCTTTACGGAGCAGTGAAGAGTAGAGATATTCCTCTCACTAATCAATTTGCAGCTGGAGATGCAATGATGATAGGTCCCCTCCGAGTCGACGGAAGTGTTCCCCTCCTCATCTGGGATTTCATTCTCATCATGTAGCGTATTCCTCTGCAGTGTTAGAAGCCTGGGGTCTATCTTTACCCGTTCGACCCTCTTCAGCCGTATATCCACATGCACTGTGAAGATAGTTGCATCCCCGAAGTGGAGCCTCACGTTGATGATGCCACCACACGGGAAGGTATCGGTTAGCTGCTGGTCCAGTCCATCCATCAAGGTAATCAGACATATGTTTTTTTCACCCGAGTTTATTCGATAAATGTTTTGCGATGGGTCTTTGTTGGGTGACTTTTCGGTTTGGTTGTCCTTTCCGCTTAGCTTCTTTTCTGGGGAGACGACTACCTTGTCGGTTGAGTCGCCACCCCCGTTGGGAGACAACCGCTGCGGCTTTACCTTCCGAGTGTTGATTCGCCTGAACATGTCCTCCTCATGCATGCATTTCACGATGGTGTCCACCGTGGTGTATGCTTTATCCAAGAGGAACCCCTCTTTCCTCTGTTGAGGCAAGGTTGCATTATGCCTCTCCCCCTGATGAGAGGTTTCTTCTACCGTTTGGCTCTTCATCCTTTCAGATGAAGCGCATCCCTCTGTAGTCCGCTCCTCACCCATGTTGGCTCCGTCAAAGGAGCTGCTGCACTCAGAGCTGATCTCTCCCAAGTATAGATTGGAAACGTCTTCCTCATCAGATAGCTCGATAGGCGAACTTGACGGTCGGTGAAGAACCAAATTGTCGTACCAATGTATGGGGACGTAGTTTATCTCATTGAAGACAAAGTTGGGGTAGTTGCAGAAGTAAGCCTTGTGCATATCGTTGTCGTCATTTTGGAGAGAGCACTGGGGGGAGGAGAGGTGCTCTTCCATAGGGTTGGTCTTCTCTCCGGTGTAGGTGTCGTGCCGCTGGTTTGGCTCATCTGGGGTGCTCCCCCGAGGAACGGCCTCTATGGGATACTCGCCAAACGAGCGCAGCATGGAGAAGAAGGCGCGGAGGCTTCCAATACGGAGGGCGTCCCCATTGAGGGAAAGCTCCCCCGTGTAGTAATCACAATGATGAACCACGTACAGAAAGAGGTGCATATAGTGAAAGTAGTTATAGTTAGGCATGATATGGCTGAGGAGAAAGAGAGACGAGTCCTCCTTTCTCTGTGAAGAGAGGAGGTATATACAGAGGAGCCTGTCGAGGGGCGTTTTCCCTACATAGTTATACAAGTGCGTCGGAATGGAGGGGGTGTTCAATGGGACCCTTTCGAGTCTGCCCCGAGTTGGGGGGTTCTTCTTACTCGGTCGCGCTGGGGAGGGGTCCCCCTGAGTAGTCCCCCCCTGAGTAGTCCCCCCCTCGTCCACTTGCACCCGAAAGTCATGGTAGAGGTACTCAGGGGGGTCTCCCTCATTGTCCCCATCCGTGGCGACCTCCGCCTGCGAGCCGCTCGGCTTGATGGGAAAAAGCACCAAGTCTAGGATAGGGGAACGGACACATCGACCAGAGAGTAAGCGCAAAGGGAAATGCAGTTCATATCGTTGGGTCACAAAATGGGTTCTATTTCTGTAGAGTCTTTTAACTGCCTGGACGTACATGCAATACTTAAATTTGATCACCTTGCCATTGTAACTCGGGGGGAGGAATGGTGGAAGGACACAGCTGAGGTGGTAGTGAGTGGTCTCACTGGGGGTTCCAAAATTCACATCGGTGCAGAGGATTATTGGGTTGGAGTAAAAGAGTAAGCCTCTCTGTTCATCGTTTTCATTGGTTCCATAGAATGGCAGGTTCAGATTTTCTTGCTTGTGTCTGAGTGGCCCATTGGTGCAAGCTGTTACCACCTCGTGATTTAGGAGGTACACTCCGTATAGGTACACCACGACGTAATCGAGCTTCACATTCCCTGCATACTTCTTAGGGCCTACTAGCTCGAAGGAAGCTCTAAAGACGTCTCCGCTGTGTGTCTGCGCATCGTCCAGACACACGGTCAATGTCACGTGGTCCTCCTGGACGTGCTCCAGGCTGGCGCTGGGGGGCGGCTTGTTCGCGGCGAAGAAGAAGTGCATCCTGTGGGTGGAGCGGCGAGGGGGGAGCTCATCGTGTGAGTGACGCGGCGGAGCGGAAGATCATCGTGCCGCTAACGCCAGAATCACTTGTTGAAGGAACTACTCCCCACGTGTGATTCTCCAGTCGGGGAAAACAAAATTGTCACTCAAAGGAATGACAACTCTGCAGCAATATGGTGGGAAAGAAGAAAAAAAAAATAGAAAATAAAAAATAAACCATTTCAACCTTGTGACAAGTGAGAGAAGGCCGCAAAAAGAAGAGAGAGAGAAAAAAAAAACTTCCCCCCTTTGACAACCGGTGGGGGCCACTTTTTTCGTGTTCTCCACCTTTCTCCAGGTGACTCAATTCCTTTTGGTATGCGCAATTCGGGAGGGTGGCAAAAGAATCTCATTGCAGAGCAGCCACTCCCGCGCTTCACACGTTTGTCAGACCGGAGATGCAGTTGTGACGGTAGCGACCTTGCCGAGTGTTTTTTGCCTAACTGGTTTGACTTTTTTTTTTCTTTTTTTTGATTGTTATTTTATCTTGGAGAATACCCCCGGTTGGATGTTCTCCTACTGTGGATTTATTTGTTTGTTTGTTTTTTTTTTTTCTCTTTTTGTTTTTCCTTCCCAGTTAGTTTCCCCATTTGGGGACTCTTCAAAGTTAAGCCGTTACTTCTTTTCCCCCGGTTGACTCAGCGGCGTAGCGGCATAAAACGACGTGACGTCGCAACTGTTGCGTTGCATTTTTCGCTGCACGAATTACCAGACGAAGTTTCACCTCGTTTGACATTCCCATTTGAGTTATCTTTTTCTATTTATTTTTTTTTTTTTTGTTGAGTGGAAACTTCAGGTGGGAGCGACGTCTATCTGCATAGGTTAGCCAATCGCCCCCATTTTTCTCTTTACATCGGTCCAACCGATCTGTACCTCATCCTGGTGCTACCCCTTCTAGGCGTTCTGAGTTTGCCTCCCCAGTTTGCCTTCCCAGTTTGCCTTCCCAGTTGGCCTTCCAAATTGACCCTCCCAATTGACCTCCTCAGGATGGGCAAGTTTGGGCGCGTCAGGAAGGAGCTCTCAAAAAAGGGCAAAAAAAATGGCACAAAGAAGGACACAAAGAAGGACACAAAAAAGGACGGAAAAAAAGGCATAAAAAAAGGCAAAAAAAAAGGCGATAAAGAAGGCGAAACTCCCCCGGAAAAGCATCTCTCAGAGCGGCTGGCAAAGAAGGGGATAAAGAAACCAACGGAAGAGAGCAGCGGCAGCAGCGTTGGTAGCGACAGCACCGTGGATAGTGGCAGTCCCGTCTGCAGCACTCCCCCGTGCCGCCAACCCCGCGGGGGCGACCTATTCGACGGGCTGTTCGTCGACCTGAAGGGCGTCCTGAGCGACAGTCTGCTGCAGACCCTGGAGAAAAACAAATTCGTCAAAACGACCAGCATACAGAAGAAGAGCATCCCAATCATGTTAAGTGATAATGATGTTTTTCTCAAATCTATGACTGGCTCTGGAAAGACGTTATGTTATGCATTGCCGTCTGTACAGAAGATACTCAATATGCAGAAAGAGAAAATAAGAGTGACGAGAGACATGGGAACATTCATCTTGGTACTCTCCCCGACAAGGGAGCTGGCCGTTCAGATTAATAGTCTCTTCTTTATGTTGACGAAGCCGTATCCGTATATCGTCGTGTCGTGTTTAACCGGTGGAGAGAAGAAGAAATCGGAGAAGAATCGACTGAAAAAGGGTGTCTCCATTTTGACGTGCACCCCAGGGAGGTTATTGGATCATTTGGAAAACACGAAAGCGCTCAAGTTGACTTATTTGCAGTGCGTTATATTGGACGAGGCGGACAAGGTGATTTTCCTCGGCTCGCAGGATAAGGTTAGGCTGATATACGACACGGTGAAGAGGGTGCGACGGGAGGGGGTGGGAGACACCAGGGTTGACCAAGCGGCCAGCAACGCCGCGAACCACGCCAAACATGCTAACCACGCTAACCACGCCGCGGAGGGGAAAGACTTCCAAATGGTCTTCATTTCTGCGACGCTGAACCACGCGGTGAAGAGTCTGGCAAACTACTGCTTAACCGACAGGACGGTGTGGGTGGAGGCGAAGGAGGGAGGAGGTAACACCCTACCCCCCCGGCCCCCAGACATAACGCTGACCGGCGGCCACGGAGAAGAGGCAGGTACATCCCCCCAGAAGGAGGACCCATGCGCAGTGGGAGAAGAGCAGTGGGAATATGAGCTGCCCGAACAATTAAAGCAATTTTGCATCGTCACCGATTTTAGGAAAAAGTTTCTTTGCCTCGTGCATATGCTACTCTCCTGCATGAAGAAGAAGCAGAAGCCAGTGGTGTTTCTCTCCAATTGTCACAGTGTAGAATATATGAGGGCGTTACTGAAGGGTTTGTACTGGCCTACCGATTTGAAGAAAGAAAACATGGAGGTGCACAAGAAGTTAAAGAAGGAAATCTCCCCTGTGTTGTTAAAGGAGGATGAACAACTGCTACGAAAACATCTGGAAAAGACTCTCCAAAGGGAGGAGTTGCAATGTGGTGATATGTCGAAGAGGAGAAAGGGAAGAATATCCTTGCCATTTAAGAACATCCAAATGGATGACTTACAAGGAGAACACTCCTGCGACAAGGGGAACATCACGGTTGGTGGTGGAAGCGGATCTCTTCTCTATAATGTCAACACGGATAGACACAAAAGGAAGTACCTCTTCGGAGACACGAACATATACATTCTTCATGGCAACCTATCGAAGGAAGACCGATTCGGGAATTTCTCCGATTTTGCTTACGGGAAAAATGAGCAGTCCATTCTAATATGCACTGAGATTGTCTCCAGGGGGGTCAACTTCGACGCGCTGGATGTCGTCGTGCAGTATGACCCGCCGCAGATTTTTGAGGAATATGTCCACAAAGTCGGTAGGACGGCGCGATTACAAAAGGAGGGATCGTCTTACTTGTTCCTGCTACCGACAGAGGTGGAGTTTCTAAACGTGTTGCGAGAAAAGAACATCCATGTGAAGACAATCCAGGGAGAGCAACTAATCGGGAGATTCCGCAGGGAGGATATCCCCCCGTTTTTCTCCTCCATTGGGGGAGATATACTTAGCTTCATCTACAACCATTTTAAGGTGACTGTTAAATCGGATGAGTCTCTAATGGAGAAAGCGACCAATGCATTTCTCGCGTCCGTCACAGCGTATTACTCGGTGAGCAAATCTCTGCGACACATTTTTTGCGCAAAGAATCTACATCTAGGGCATCTGGCCTACGCCTTCCTGCTAGACGAGAGCCCCAGGGAGATTTCTAAGCTGAACAAACAGCAGCGCTACCTGCGGGTGAAGCGGCACACCACGCCCAGCAAGCGGGAGCGCCGCCTCCTTCGGGGGCGATGAGTTGGTGGTAAGTTGGCGGTGGGAAGTTAAGTTGAATTTCCTGCGGGTGACCTCTCCCGTTTTCCCCCTTCGCGACTGCCCCGCACGCTCCTTTCCCCCTTGTGTATTGTATACATTTTCTGCATTTTTGCATTCTTGCATCCCTCCACTTCTTCATTATTGTCGTTCTTGCTCCCCGCGCGGACCAAACCCTTTGGACGCGCACCAACTCTTTGCCCAGCGTACAACACGCACTGGTCTCGTTTGTTCTCCATTTTGTAATTTGTGAGAATTGGCTTTTCCCCCGTTCGTTACTTCTTCCCGTGGGAAACATAAACGGGGCCTCTGTTTGTAGAGAAAAAAAGGAAGCAATTAGGATGCCTCTTGAGCAGTTGCGGAGAAGGAGGCGCAGCAGCTTCGGGAGGATGATATGTTCTCACAGGACGGCGAAGCGGATAGCCAATCATTTGGTAAAATTGAAAAAAGAAAAATCCCTCCATTCGTACAGCTACGCCGAACACGTTTCCATTTTCGTAAAAAAAAAAAAAATCTCACTCGTCACGAGAGTTACTTAGTTAGCAAACCCTCTTCTTCCCTCTACTTTGCTTCTCTTTTTCTTACCCGTTCGGGTCGGTAAGGAAGAGGCATACACACCGCTTCCTCCCTCTCGTTCTCTCTCCCCTTGCTTCTTTTTTTTATTTTTAACCTCCCCCCCTATATATTCCTTCCTTTTGCCCTCTCTTTTTAACGATGCCCTTGTCAGCTGGCGAGAACAAAAAAGGAGGAAGCACCTCTGTTGGTCTTCTCATATAACGCTTACTTCGCAGGAAAAAAAAAATAACAAAAAAGAGAAAAAAACAGAAAAACAAAAAACCAAGAAACCTGACGTCACTTCTACATGTTCTGTAGCGTCCCTTTTTTTTTTTCATTCTGTCGTGAGTTCCTCCAGGGGTAATGACAACATATTGGGTTTGCGGAGAGTGCACGCGTGTGTTCGCGGTGTGTGCTTCACGTGTCCACGTCGCACGTCACGCATCACGCGTTACATGTATAATAAATCGATTACACCTCGCGCAGCCAGCTCGGAGGAGTCTACTCAATCGCACGAAATCGCAAAAACAAAAGAACAGTTGCGAAGTGATCTGCCAGGTAAAGGTGCTCACGTCCCGATTAGTCACCCCCACACTCGCCGCTCCGCTGCTCCACCGCTATACCGATCCACCGCTTCACAACATGCGCGTGCGACTCCTTGCGCCACTTTGCACGTACGCATTCGCGTACAGCGACATGTCTAAGATGAGAACATGCATGCAAAACGTAACCCCCACACCCAAGAAGGAACAGCCCCGCAAAGACATGTCGGCCCCGACCAAGGCGAGTGCAGCGCAGCTGGACGCTGTGCAGAAGTACCTCAACAACTTCGATCATAAGAATGACACGGAGAGTAAGTGCGCCAGGAGAGTGCTAAACGCGTGCTAGACCTGCACAGAGGAGAGTCTGCTAAGAAGCGCTGCTCCTCCCCCTCCTGTTGCATCACTCACAAATGGTGACCACAGAGGAAGTACGTTTCACATGTCTTTCCTCTTTTTTTTTTTCTTTTTCCTCCCCTTCTTTTCTCCCCTCCCGCTAGGCATCACTGGATTTGCTCAGCTCCTCAAGGAGCTTAACATCAAGATGGCTGTTTTCGACTTCGACTTGACGATAATCGGTGCCCACTCGGGTAGGCCCTGCACTTCGTTTCATCCTTCGCCGCGACGTTCACCACGACGTTAACCGCAACCTTCACGGGAACGTCCGTTTTGTAGATGCATTATTGTAGTGGCTTCCCTCCCACTTTACCACTTCCCTGCCCCCACACAGGAGGCTACGTCGATAAGGCTAACGACGTGGACCACATCGGAACTGCCGTGACGAATCACTTCAAGATACTCTCCAAGGCGCTCAACGATAACGGCATTAAAATTACCGTCGCGACGTTTTCGGGTGAGGGAAGGACGCGGAGGGACGAGTAGAGACGCGTAGGGACGCGTAGAGACGCGGACGGCTGGGAAAGAACCCACTGCGTTCTTCCTTCGGAGTGCCGTTGCGAGCCCCACTTCTTGTGTCGGCCTCCCAAAGGAACACGATCAGCTCATTACGTTGCGCTCACCACCTCCCGCTTCGCATGTTACACGTCACTCCGTATACTCTCCATGTAATAACACGCTCCGTCCACTTCACACCGTCCACTTCGCGCGTTACCCCCCGCAGACGACGAGGCCATCCGGTACAGCCGTGGCAGGAACTCCACCCTCATTGCGGGCGAGGAGATGGTGACGTTCAGCATGCAGCAAAGCAAGTGCGACGCGAAGATCGAGAAGGTCTATGCTTACTACCCCCCGTAAGGAAGAAGCTGCCAAGAGCGACACAGGGGTGTGCCGCGTCGGGTTTGCGCATCGGGTGTGCGCGTCGGATGTGTCTGCACCCTGCAGTGACAGATATAAATATGTTCACCGTTCGCGTATCTCTCACCCTGTGTGCACCTCTTCTTTCTCCACGTCCCTGCAGCTACTACCGACAGCCGCGGCAGTACAAACCGCTGGGGCTGGACAAGCCAATGAGTCACGACAAGTCGTACCATTTGAAGCAGGTAAGAGGAAGGCGCGCTAGGTCGAGCGGTACCACGTCACGTGAAGGTGCTCCTCTGCACATCACGCTGCTCCTCTGCACATCATGCTTCCCCTCTTCACATCACGCTTCCCCTCTTCACATCACGCTTCCCCTCTGCGCATCACGCTTCCCCTCTGCGCATGACGCTTCCCCTCTGCACATCACGCTGCTCCTCTGCACACCACACCACTCGTCCTTCCCCGCTCCTGTCACCACAGATCAGGACCGACTTCGGAGTCAACATCGATGAAATCTTATTCGTGGATGACGATATGAACAACTGCACCTCGGCGAAGAAGGAGGGCTACTTAACCTTTAACGTTATGGGGAAAAATGGCTTCAATTTTAAGAGTGTAAAAGTTATGTAGCCTTCCCGGGGCGAAGGCAGACCCTCCTCTCCCCGTCCTTCCGACTATACTTAGCGCATTGCAGGTGACACGTTGCACGCTGCATTTTTTTTTATTATTTTTTTTTTTCCTCGCACCAGTGGAACTTAAATTTTTTTTTTTATTCTCCTCACCGCGTGATCTTTACGTAACCCAGCGAGCTTATTGACTCGACACGTCGCCGGTTAACCAATTCGCCGGTTAACCAATTCGCCGCTTTCCCTCAAAATGGCCCGCGTGGACGCACGCGGCCCGTTGGACTACCCGGCACCCCCGTGGCACTTCCCCGCAAAGAGAATGAGGTAGAGAAATGGTATAAGGGACGATGGTAACAAGACGAAACGGCAGACAAGTGCTGAAAAAGATCGCAGAAAGGTACCTCCCATCGGTCAACATCGCTCACTTGGTTTGCAGTACCCTCCTGTTAAACTATCTAGTGGCATATTTGGTAGTTACCTGCTTATGGTTTCCTCCCAGGGGGGAAAAGGGTCACCTCGTAGGGGAGGAAAAATGGACGAGCCCTTCCATGGAGGAGCAGCACTACACACACAGGGGAGCTCATCACCAGGATGACTTCATCACGGAGAGAGTCTGTTTGGCTTATGTTCTTTTTTGTATCCTTTGTTATGTCCCGAAGGTTGTAACCATATGGGGTCAGACGAGGGGGAAGAAAGGTTCCCAGCTGGAAGGATCAACAAATGGACCAGTCAAACATGAGAGTGTCCTTCGCGCGACAGGACGAAGGAGACAAATGTGGATGACGGGCACCCATCTCATTAGGTACGTCATCCTCGCCGTGCTCAGCATGCACAAAGGGAGGAGAGCGAAGCCTCCTTTCTTCCCATTCATCCTGGCCGTGTGTGAAATGGGCACTCCATTTGTCTCCCTAATTAACATCATAGGGGCAGTAAAAAGGGGCTACATAAATGGCTACCTCAAGGGGAAAAAAAGAAAAAAAAAAAAAAAAAAAAAAAATTAACAAAGTGGACCTCTTCCTATTCTTATGCTACTTCGCTGTTGAGAGGATTCGGAGAGGGAAGCTCTGTCGCGATGTTGCTACACATGTAAGAGGCCCAGGAAACAACGGTGGAGGACAAGCGTTGGACACCCAAAGGGAAGAGCACAAAGGAAGAAATCCTTCCCGTGTTAGTTTAAATAAGGAGTGCCCCTTCCCTAGGTGTCTTAAGTTATGGATAGAGTCGTTGGAGCGGCCTCTTAGTCCTTTTCGGTTGTGGCATGTCGGAAGAGAAGAGGAATCAACCCCAGTGAGGGTACCCCCCAAGGGGAGGGACTCCCCAGAAGGAGCCAGCAAAAGGAGGGCAGCCTCCCAAGTAGGAACTAACACCGTAGATAGGAAAGGAAGGGAAGCGTCCGGGGGGGACTCCGACGCGAAGGAGAAAGAAGAGAATCCGAATAGAAGAGGCAACAGTGGAGGAAACCGCGGTGCACGAAGCAACAGGGGTGTGAGCTCCCATCTGGAAGCGACGTCTCCTGAGGCACAGTCGGGAGGAACCATTCCAAGCGAAGAGAAGAATGATGCTTCTTCCAATACGAGGGAGAAGCATCATATGGAGAAGGGGGTAGAAAACCATTCGGGTAGCGATCCACATGAGGAGAGCTCAGATAGTCAGGGGGAGCTATGCGAGCGGGTCAGGACAAATGCTTACAAGTACAGAAATTTTTACCATCAATATTGCAAGGGGGGCCGCGGAGAAGGAGGAGACGCGGAAGAGGAGAGCAGCTCGATGGAAGAAAACTCCTTTTTGAAGTGTCCCACGTGGAGGGAGAGGAGAAAATTCAATGTCATCGAGGATGGTGGTGATCTTCAAAATGGTGGTGATGTAGACCCCCATGTAGAAGGAAACCAAAATGCTGAGGAGATAGCCTCACCTGAGGAGACACCACACGTCGATGAAATCCCCTCGTCACCCTCCCCCTTTGGAAGACACACCGGGCGGGGAAAGAAGGGATTCAATTTGGGGAGCGCCAAAATGAGGAGCCTAAATGATAGGCGGAGTTACACCTCGTTGTACTTCCCCTCCGTTATCGAAACGGACAGTGAGGGGGGGAGCATCAGCGAAGGCAACAATGGGGGAGGCGATAATGGTGGAAGCGGCAGTGGGGGAAGCGATGAGCACATTCGGGGCGCTTCTCCATGCAAGGAGAAGGAAAAACCACCCTCGGAGGAGGGCGCTCACAACCATGTACACCCTCGTCGCGGTGCATATGAAAGGGACAAATTAGAAGGTGGCGAAGAGGTGGGAACTTTTTTAAACGAAAAGGGGGACGAGGGCTTCTCCGCTGGACGCCTCCTAAATGATGTGAATAGAAGGGGGGTGGTTACCAACACGTCCATGCTCCCGGACGGGAAATACCTCCAAACTGGAACGGAAAAGAAAAAGAAGAGAAAAAAACACCACTGTGTTTATTTCTCCCCCGATGGGGTGAAGTGCTCGCATTCGAATCATGGAGAAGACAAAGCATTCAGTGGAGATCCAGTGAGTAGCGACGGATTGAGTGGCGACGGAGTGAACTCACTTGAAGCGCAGGTCAGAATGTCCCTCTCCAACTTCAAAAAGAAGAAGGAAGTACTTACCTTCATAAAGGATACGTATAAGACTATTCTGATCATAACCATTCTGTCCCTGCTGCTGACCAAGGGCATTCTTATGTGCACCTTTCTGTACTTCCTCCAGAGTGCGCCCGTCGCCTTGAGCCCTCCGCTCCCCCCCCGTGGTGTGTTTCCCCTGCTGCAGGTGTGTCACTTTGCGCTCTTCCACCTGTACGTGCGGGAGTATGCTGCACGTAGGCAGTGCGGTCCTACCTAATGCGATGAAACAATGTGTGACATAAAGCGGATCCGGTGAATGCGACGTTGCCTTACCCTCTTCGATTAGCACATTCGGAGGGGGGAAGGGGGGAGGCGCGCCTTCCTCTCACTGCGCTATCTTATTTTTTCGCTCCCCCCCACTTGGCTATTTTATTTTTTCGCTATCGCCCAACTTTTTTTTTCCTTTTCAAAATACAAAACGTTAGACTTAATTACAACTGGGTGGAAGTAAAAACGCGTTTGTTCAGTTCGGGGGTAAAGAAAGAAAAAAAAAAAAAAAAGTTACCTGACCAAGTCAGGTAAATTTTCGTGGCACAGTTCAGCGGGCATATATTTTTTTTTTTCTTTAAGCTACGACGATGTCGTAAAAATGGGAAAAAAAAAATAAATGAAAAAGGCTGCATTCTGCCTTCTTATCGGTTCGCCTTGGCAACTCTCTCAATCTCGTCCTTCTTCTTGATGGCATAGGAACTGGAGGACTCATTGGCGCAGTTGATGATTTCCTCCGCGAGGCATTCAGAAATGGACTTAATATTTCTGAAGGCGGCGTTTCTGGCACCAGTACAGATGAGGTAAATTGCCTGGTTCACTCTTCTGAGTGGAGAGACATCCACTGCTTGTCTTCTAACAACACCAGCGGAACCAATTCGAGTGGAATCTTCCCTTGGCCCACCTTTCTGCACCGCATTCACATACACTTGGATGGGGTTTTCTCCTGTCATGAGGTGTATAATTTCGAAAGCGTAAGCTACAATTCGAATTGCCTTTAACTTCTTTCCGTTATTCCTTCCATGCATCATCATCGAGTTGACGAGTCTCTCCACGATTGGGCACAGGGCCTTCCTAAATCTCTTTTTTTGATATCGCCCCGCGGTGTGTGGCGTGTATACGCAGGCCTTCTGCGACACCGCGATGCAGTCAACCTATGAGGAGGGAAAATGGTAAAGGAGTGAAGAAGTCACTCCAGTGAAGAAGTCACTCTAGTGAAGAAGTCACTCCAGTGAAGAAGTCACTCTAGTGAAGAAGTCACTCTAGTGAAGAAGTCACTCCAGTGAAGAAGTCACTCTAGTGAAGAAGTCACTCTAGTGAAGAAGTCACTCCAGTGAAGAAGTCACTCTAGTGAGGAAGTCACTCTCGTGGTCTCCCCATTCTACGCACTGACGAGGGGGAAGCAACTCCCATGTGCTTCTCCACTTACCAGTGACAAGTCCGCAATGTTAACATCTTCGTAGGACCACTTTTTGAATAGCTTAATATCCGATGTTGTTGATTCCATTTTGTTTTTCCGGAGGTGGGGTACTATAAGAAGAGAGGAGGGGGGGAGAAGGCGAACACGAACTGCTAATGGGTTCATTCGGTAAAAAGTGCTACACGGAGAAGGGTTAACAATGCGACATCCACAAGGCAAAGTGGAAGAACCTCTGTTGGCTAAACAGTGGAGTAGCTCACCACATGTAAAAGCATATACATATCATCATATCAGGGGCACTGCTTTCTTTTGTGCCTTCCATTTTTTTGAGCAATTTCCTCATGAAGTCGTACAGTCGTGCGGTATATGAAGGGGAGTCCATTGACCTATGTGCTCCCTTTCACGTTGTGTCATTCGTTTTTGCTTACCTTTTTTTTTTCTTTCCTTCCTTTAATCTCTATGGGGGAAGTTCATTCAAAATATCATAATAAGAAGGAGTACACTTTTGAAGGGGTAAAAAAAAAAAAAAATAACAATATAACTTTTACAAGGGGGGAAAAAAAAAATTAGGAAACTTCAAAGTTGAGCAGATGGAACTATTTAAAAAAGAAAAATATATCTCTTCTTCTCTGCGAGGGTTTGTTCGATTGGTAAGAAATGGTTTCTTTCGTGATGAAGTAGTGTTTTTTTTTTTCTGTTCATGCTGAAGAAGGGGGCAAGGACCCAAGCTTTGTGTCGGATCTTTTCATGTGTTTTACCGCGTGGCACATTCTGCCTCTCCCATTGTTGCAGGTGGCAATGAGGATTAAACGGTTAATACTTTTATTTCTGTTCGTATGCCTAATGGATTGTCCGCTGGGTGTTCAGCAGGTGCGTACTTCGCCATGTATAATAATACTCTTCCGGATGGAGATGTGGGACTCATGAACACCCTTTCGCGTAAGGCACCCCCTCTCCCCGATATGTTAAGAGGCATATGATGTACTGTAAACCATCGCCATAATGCCACTCGTTTTTTTCTCAGTGCGGCAATTTTCGAAAACCCCTTACGCTCCCGCCGGGTCACAAAAGAAGGGCGGTGCCGCAGGGAATGAAAGGAAAAAAGAGCGGAAGCAAAGCGAAGAGTGAAGAAGGGAAGCGCAGCATACACATGATGTGACAACATGGCGTGGTAATGGAGCCTCCCACACCAGAGGCATAGTTCATCACCTTGAGGCATTTCCCTGAGCCTGCGCTGCCAACGGTCTGGCGGCAACCCGAAATATGAGCCGAGCCGTGCCTACCGTTGCTCATTATATATACTTTTATTAAGGTCACTCTCCATTTCGCGAAAGTTTCCACGTGAAAAGAAAGGAAATATAGGTCCCGTTTTGCCCCTCCGTCACGAAACAGGTTAACATTTAAAATTTAAAAAAAAAAAAAAAGCTACTAACCGTATCGTGGGAGAAGTGACATTTGTTTGTATTCTCTTTTCCGCCCCTTTCCACTTCAACCATTTTTGCTTTTTTCACCCTTTTACGCAATGGGGCATTGTTGCCAAAGCGGGCATATGTAGTATATTTTTCCAAAGTGACACATATTTTGCACAGCGGGGTTAATTTCCAAATGGGAAGGAATATCATTGGGAGTTGTCCCCCGTTTGGGAAGCCATCGCAAGGGAAAACACCAATGGGGGAAAAGCTGCTTATTCTTTCTTTTTCACCTTACGTTGGAGAAGTATCCATATGTATGCCCCCTCCCCTAAAGGTAATTAAGTACGCGAGGCAGGAGGGCCTATCCCATGGGGGCATCACACACATGGCAGCATTCGCCTGAAAGCAGCTGATTCTGCATTTTTGTTCTTTTTAATTTCACTGAGGGGGAAGGAGATCCAAATGGGAAAGAATAAAAGAAAGAGTGAAAGGAAGAAAGAAAGACTGAAAAAGAAAAAAAAACCATGTTTTCACGTCCCTTTTATATGAATACCCCCTATACACACCCGTCCAGTCGAGGATCACCAAAAAGGGAGAAAACGCGCAAGTTGTTCCCACTTGTAGCGTGCCACTTGTTGCTACGCTCAAAACAAACTGAATAATATCCCCATTCGGTGCACCGTAGCTGTGCTTACAATAGCAAAAAAAAAAAAAACAAACAATCGAATTACTCACTAGTGCGAAATTACTAGCCCATCGGTTTGGGTACACAGGAGAAGCTGTACACATGAGGCTTGCAACAGTCTTCCGTAAAATCAACAAATGCGAATAGGGAAATACAACCACGTTCATAGCCCTTTCGTGTGTGTGTAGCTAAGTGGGTAACTGTGCCAAGCGAATTTGCTCCATATACATGCAAAAAAAAAAAAAATCCCAATTTCACCTGACCTGTTCAGGGGAAATTTCTATTTCACTTGTGTCGTATGAACTGTCTAGGGAAAAAAAAAAAGTAGCTATGTTGTCCACCAAAGTGCACAACTGTAAATTACGGAATGTAAAGAAAAAAAAAACTAGCCATGTTTTCTACCAAAATGTATAACGATAAAAGCTCCAAAGTTAAAAAGGGAAAAAGAGCTACCCACGTACCATTCTGCACACATGTGTAATTTTTTTGTATGTACAGGTCATAACATTTTTCAGCCGCGCGCTGAGCAGAAAAGCTAAATGTGCAGGGTTGAAGAGCGAAATACAGCTGTTTTAGTAGTTAAATATAGATTTGCCTTGAGTCCACCGCGAGGGGGAACAAGCCTCTCCCTTCAAGGGTAGCCCCTTTTACGAGATGCTTTTTGTGGACAGCACGGAGATTGCACCTCTGACATGTTTACGTGAAAAGGAAAAAAGAAAAAAATAGCGCAGATAAGGTGAAGGTAGCGAAAAAGCAAACTAGCCACATTTGAGCAGATCACTTTTTTTTTTTTTTTTTCTTTTCTAGCTCGCGTTTGATGTTTTGCATTTGGGACATTTTGCAGAACATGCGAGTTCGGGGGACTCAGTCTTCGTAAACATTTTTTCGTCTCTCAGCCATTTGCAATATTTAATTAATTAATTATTCTTTTTATTTTTCATTTAACTTTTGATTTAAGTTTTCATTTAACTTCTCATTTAATTAATCATTAAATCATTCATCCTTATTTTTCTCTTTCCTACTTCTACATTCCTACGTCTATACTCCCCATTTGACCTTTGTACGCTGATTACCCCCGCGCACTTCGTCCCATCGCTCGTGTCTTTTTCAGCAGAACGAGACTGTGTTTGGCCGTCTCCCGGCGCCACCTCTCAACACCGCTTCTCCACGCCGCCTCTTAACCCCTTTTGCAAGATGAACAAGCTGCTGTCACTGGCCCTCTTCCTCTACGCCGTGGCGGCCGTCAGGCCACCCAAGGGGCGATATGAAGGTGTGTCGAAAAACATAAACGAGCACCTAAGCAGCAGGAGCGGCTCCAATAACGGCAAACCATTTAACTTGCAAGAAAATATCAAATATAAAAGGCAGAATAATTACGAGTTCTTTGTCGACTCGGATGGACAGTTACAGCAGGAACGTTTTGGAGTGAATGAACCCAGACAAGTACTAAAGAAAAATCTCGATCAGTTAAGATACCTAATTAACGACATGGAAGTCCTCACAGGTATGTACACCTTCAACGCAAGAGACAAAGAAAAAGTGTTAAAGGAGACGTTAAAGCCGGAGTCGCTCTGCTTTACCATGTTGGGTCTCCTATCCGACAACATTAATAAGCTCCTACCAGTGGAGAGCTCTCCCATATACGGGCTGCTAATCAATGGAGAAAGGAACACCAGCACGAATGAAGTGAACAAAGAGTTATCCATATATGCAATTTTATCAAACATATCGGTCTATGTTGGTGAGTTTAAGTTTCCCATTTTGAAGAATGCCCCTTACGAGATCCCCTTCCTGATTGGCTACTACGACAATAAAGGGAACGGATTCAGAAACAAAACCTTTTCGTACCTTTGCCCTTTACCAACGTTTTTAATTGATGTTATACGGACGACAAAGTTCGGAATGAAATTCAATTTTAATGGTCTCGACTTGGAAGCGAAAGAGTTGTTTCCTGCTTCGCTGTCCCACTGGATTGAGATGCCGTCGATGGTGCCTGTCCAGACGGGAGACAAATATGACAGCGAGAGAAAGGCCATGGTAGAGGTGCTCAAGAAAGAAGCCAAGGATGTGACGTACAGGAAGGTGCACAAAACTGGAGTGATCGAAGGGGTCGGCATTGTGAAGGCACAAGAGAGGATACTAGCTTCCACTTCCTTTTCCAATATGAGAGAAACGGTGAAAAGTTTTCTCGCCAGCTCAGGAAGAACGTCCATGGATGGAGCTTCCACTGCTCTGTACTTTATGGCCCTGAGTCAGAAGCTGTTTTCGAAGATGAAAGACACACCGCACAGAAGAGTGACACGTGTGGACGTCTCCAATGTGGTGGAGAACAAGAGTGGGTTCTTACAAGGGTATAGTCTGAAGCTAACTCTGGAGGATTCCACTTTCGTCACAGCGGAGGCGCTGGTGCAGGGAAAGAATGTGTTGGTGCCGCGCGAGCTGAAGAAAGGCAGCAGTGGCGCCGCCTCACTGGAGGTGCCAGTGGCATATGGACTCAGTGTGGGCGGCGGCGCGGGGCTGACCTACAGCTTCGCTGGCCTGGCCTTCGACCTGAAGAGCGCGCTGCCCTACAGCGTGAACAGCCTGGCGTCCTTCGTGAGGGCGGCATAGCGGTGTAGCAGCGGAGCGGCATAGCGGGATATGCCACCTCAGTGCATTTTTCCATTCCTTTCTTTCTTCGTTTCTTTATTTCTTTCCTTTTTTTTGTTTCTAAAAGCGCTTCCCACGTGGGTTCCAATTGGTGCCCCACGGAGCGTCCTTTTCATTCCTGATTATGCCTCTTTTTTGCCCATGTGAGGGGTTGGAGATGAGCTGAGATGAGCCAAGACGGGACGGGACAAGAAGAGGCAAGACGAGACAAGAAGAGACAAGACGAGACAAGATCAGATAAGCTGAACTGAACTGAGATCAGACCTGATCAGCCGTGCAGTGCTCTCATTCCGACGCGATTCGGTGGGGAGGCGCACCTGCCATAGATATATGTATATATATACATATTTCCTGCCTTCACTACGTTGATTTTTACCGCTTGAGGGGTGGACAACGCGCGCTTTCTCTGGCGTCACCGGCGTCTCTGGCCTCACTGGCATCTCTCCGCCCCAGACGCCACTACATGTTTTCCAGCGGGGTAGCCAGCGCGCCCCGGCTCGAATGATTAAAACTTATTTGATTTGAAAATGTGTCGACATAGTAGAAATTGTTCCTTTATGGGTCGTTCTAGGGGGTCATTATTTCAACTGTGGAGGGGCGGTTATCGTGAGAAAAGGGTCCACTCGAAGGGGATGGGAGTGGGGTTGTTTTCCTTGAGGTACCGACATGGAGAGAGAGTTAGCGGTCAGGCCGAGGTGGCTGGTCATTCAGGGGACGTGTGATCATCCTTATTTGATTTATTTTTTTTAAGGGTGTTCCGCTTCCGTTGAGACTGCGGCTACGTCTGTAACTTCCGCTTCAGTTGAGGCTTCTTCTTCCCACGTGCGGTAAGCGGGTTACACGCGCTTTAAGGGGTGCATCCCGAGGGCGCCACGTGCGGGGCAATGGGGCGCAGCTGAATGGCAGCGGCGAAGCGTTTCGAAGCGGGGTGACCAGAAGAACGAAAAAAAAGAAAATAAAAGAAAGAAAAAAATACAAGTCAGGCGTATTGGCCATAGCAGTCACATGGGTAGTCAATCTTAACCGGTTTGAGGAGGGAGCACTACAGCAAAGAAAGAGAGAGCAGAAGTGAATGCATAGGGGAATGGGAAAGTAAAAGTGAAGGCCAAAGTGACAGCAGAAGCCAAGTGACCCTTTTTGTATGCCCAACAGAAGGGGACCTCACGCGCAGGCCCCCACGTCACTTTACACCCCCTCGTACGTCAGTGTAGGCGTAGCCGGTGAGTACAAACGGGAGTGGTCAGTACATGCCTAAGTGGATGCTCCATACCCAGGTGATCGACCCTGTTTGCCATCGCACATTTGTGCCACGCGCCAAGCAGCTGACCCCAATTTTTCCCACTCGTAAAGTCCCCTGTCGCTATGCAAAAGAACACTCCGGAAAACGGGAACGTAAATGACCCCATGAAGGACGGAAAGGGGGAGGTAAAACCGAATGACCTCAACGATGACAACATTTATATTTTCGATGAACCGGATGATGAGTTGGAGGAGTTCGAAGAGATGGGTAAGTTCGACCCCACCGTGAGCGGAATGTGCAAAGAGGCCCTCTTGCGAAGAAGTAGTCTAATCCTTCGCAGTGGCAGTCTAATCCTTCGCCGTGGCAGTCTAATCCTGCGCAGAGGAAGCCTAATCCTGCACACAGCCAATCGTGAAATGTCTTCGCACACCTCCTCTCCGCAGGCAGCACAGCCCACAACATAGACACCGATTTGGAAAATTGGGAGGAAGAGTGGGGAGCAGCGGGTAGGCGTAGCACCGGGGCGGCGGAGGAGCAGCGGTTGAGCGGTGATTGAGCGGCGGGAAAGCCCATCCGTCACTCCATGTGTCGCTTCATTACGTGCATTTCTATGTATTCCCTTTTTTTTCTCTCTTCCTTTTATCTCACCCCGCCACCCCTCCATCTTCCTGCTCCCTCAGGATGGGATGATGACGACGACGATGATGATAAATTCATCTTAAAGGTGGAGTCGGAACTGCAGAACTTTAAAGCCACCTTGGATGCCGAAAGGGACTTGAAGAAGTGAAAAGTGGGATGACAGTAAATCGGAAGAGGGACTCTACTATGCACTCTGGAGAGGGGAACCCACCGCACATGGTGGACATAAGGACGCACCGTTTTGTTTCTCTCCATGCAGGACTGCACCGCTGTGTTTGTTGTGATTTTTCCACTACCTGATTTTTTCTTTTTTTTTTTTTTAATGGTGGTCATCTCTCCCGCTATACATCTGGGTATCTTCTCTGAAGAGAGTTAACGGGAAAGGCAACTTTACGATTTGGACGGTCACATGTAGAGAACACCAAAAAAGGGGAATGTCCCTTCGGCACACCCAAGGGGATGTCCCCACATGCATTTCATCAGTCACCACGGCGCATTCGCAACGAAGCATTCATCACTTCGCATTCATCACTTCGCATTCATCACTTCACATTCACCACGTCGTATTCACCACGTCGTATTCACCACGTCGTATTCACCACTGATGGATGACACGAAAGAAGAAAAAAAAAAAAAGAACATTTTCTAATTATCTTTACACTGCAAATTGCCAAATGGACAATCTTTTTAAATTGTTTTTCTCTTTTTTTTCTCTTTTTTTTTTCTTTTTTTTTTTTTTTTTCTCAAAGAATAGGTTTATTACATTTGGGATTAAAAAAAAGGTCACAAAAAATGGGGGTAGGGGGAGAGGAAAAAGAATAGACGGGGGGGAAGTGGTCTTTTCCATCTGTCACTTCTTCACATGCAGAAGGTACTGCCACCAACAGGAAGCTCCTTACACATGTTGCTGTAACATCTATGTAGGGGCTAAATGGGACAGGTTTGTTGGGAAGGGCCTCCCTGGCCGGTGTCTTCACTAGGGGTTGTCTTGACTAGCGGTTATCGTTATTACAGGTTATCTTCGTTTCGCTTCTCCTCCGCTTCTCCTCCGCTTCTTGTCCACTTCTTCCCCGTTACTACTCCTTGACGCTCCGTCGAATGGGCATCACCATCGGGTTGAGCTGCGACAGGTACACGCAGAGCCAGCTTCAAGGGGGGAAGAAGAAAGGGGAAGAGGAGAAATAATGCGGCACTGATAATGGAGATGGTGGCGAAGCGATGGGTCCGGCCGTGAAGCTGGCAATCTCCGTGTCGGGCAGGCAACCTCCAGGAAGACTGCTCACGTACAGTCCAGTTATGTTGACCCGCGAACGGCCGTAAACCCGACGCACTCTCCTGGAAGCTTACAATATCCAGAGGCAGAAGACGGCGAGCGACACCAGGGTGATGATGAGTCTGCAAAGGAGGGGAAAAGGAAAGAAGTATATGATGGGTAGGGTGAATCGATTGGTAAAGATGACCTAAGTCTCGAAACGGTATCTCGCCTCATACAAGTGCATACAAGATGGGCAGCCACTATCCTCTCCTGCTGAGGGATTCCCTTACTTCACCATATCCATCCGACATATCTTCCCCTCTCGTGCGAACAGGAGACAAAACAAAATGCACGAGACAAACCAGATAATTAGATAAATCAAACTTCCCGTGGAGATGACGGAATCCATCCTGTTAGCAGGTCAAGTGGGAAGGGAGCAGTGAGGGGTGAAGACATCCAAGTGGTCATCCTCACGGAAAAAAGCGCGTACGAAGTAAGAATGAATCGATTGACCCACAAAGGGGTAAACAAAAAAGAGCACCACGCGTCCTTACTTGACTGTAACACGACTGCTAGGAGGGATTGGCGGAAGAGGGAGAGGGTGGCCGTGTTAAAAAAAAGAAGAACCGTGCGACAGAAGGAAAAAGAAAAAGGAGTCCTTGTCTCTTTCCCTCTTCTGTGCCAGCCCGTAGGTGTTATGCGATAAGGTGGAAACCGTCCTCGCCCTTTGTGATGAAGGCATGTTCTTTCTTGTTTTTCGTCCCGTGTGTGTTATAGCGAATCGGCGTTTGTAGAAGACTGCTGTGGTTGCTTTGCCTCTTCGGAGTGGGGGGCTCGTGACCGACAGCTGATGAGTGGTGGCAGCAATAGTGTGCTAACTGTCGCAACTGTGCCAATGGTGGTGACTTCCTTCTGTTCCTTTTTGCTCCCACTCCTGCCTGTGCTCCGTCTATGTCTTCCCTCACACGTGCACTCAGAAAAGTGGCTGCTTGCTTCTTTGCGTCACTTGCGACGTTCCATCTTAAACTCGCAGGGTCGAGTTCGTTTCCTGCTGGAGCTGCTTCCTTCCCTGCCGCGCTGCTTCGTCCTCTCGATGGTGTAGCGGTTGGCCCTGCTCCCCCCCCATAGGGTTGCCTTTCCTTTCTCTCCTCACGCCCGGCTTCTTCGACGAAGCTGCGACGCGTTGATGGTGAACCCACCAGGGGAAAGAGTCCTAATGGTGTGGCCCAAACGGTAAAACGCAAAAAAAAAAAAAAAAAAAAAAAAGGAACACAAATGGCAAAGCGTAAAGCGCGAATTATCAGTCGTGCAAGGGGAAACCCAGAAAATAAAAAGAATGGGAAAAAAAGGGAAAAAAAAAGAAAGAAAAAGGAAAGCAAAGCAACGCAAAGGAAGGAAAAAAAAACAAATGAAATACAGAGTACACAAAATATAAAACACGTGGCAAACAAATGGGAGAATTGACGAGTGTCAAAAAAAGGAAAAAAAAAAAAGAAGCTTAATTTTTTTTTTTTTTTTTTTTTAAGGGTCAAGTAAAAAAGAAAAATTACAAATTGGTGAGTCCCAGTGGGTGGTAAAACCAAGTGGAGAAAAGGACACTCCAAGGGGAATGCAGCAAAAGGAAGAAGAAAGAAAAAAAACGAGAAAAATTATGCGTAAAGAAAAGCCTATAAAAGTGACTTAACAAAGCTACGAATGGAAAGAAAAAATGGAAAATGAGCAGCATCAATTTAGAGGAAATGCAAAGTGAAAATAACGGCCTTTTTTTAAGATTGCGAAAAGAGCAGAAACAGAATGACATGACGTAACACACTGTGATGCAACGGAGAGTGGCGTAATATACGTGGCCACCACAGGGTTACTCATTCTTTACAGCACATCATGCACGGGGGGGAACTTGGAGCCATATTTTTTCCCCTGGACTGTTCTCCCTTCACCAACGGTTTGTACACGCGGTGAAGTTATAGGCACACACAATAAAGGCGGGGGAGGGGGTCCCAAACGGGAGATGCCGGAACACCGGTTACCATGCAGCGCCTCCAATTGTCAAAATGAAGAAAATCGGACGCCGCGAGGGAGAAAAAGCTGGGAGAGGGAGGCTCGAGCCGAAGGAAAAGCCGCGGCACCATAGATGGGAGAGTAGTCTCGGAGGGGGCAAGCGATGGCCTGGTGAGAGAAAACACCATCGGAGTGGTTCGTCCCATCGGAGTGGTTCACTCCATCGAAGTGGTTCACACCATGGGCATGATTCAAGGGGGGGCTCCGGTAAAAGGAGGAAAAAAAAAGAAAGACGCAGTGAATCTGGATTCCGCGGCAGTAGCCAGCCCAGAAGGGGGGAGAAACAACGGAGGAGAAGCCGAAGCAGGAGCAGAGATCGGAGCAGGGACAGAAATCGAAGCAGCAGTAGAGATCGAAACAGCAGTAGAGATCAACGCAGGAGCAGAGATCGAAGGCAACACAGTGAGAATGAGCGAGAGCCCGCGCGGAAAGCCAGGCACCCCCCACAACAGGTGTCCTACAACGCATTCGATTATTTCTCAAACGACATTGCAAGGGAGAAATTATTGCCCAATTACATCATGGAGGAAAAAAACAAGTACGAAAAGGACGTCTTCGAGAAGGCATATGGACTGAGCCTAGGCGATGGCATCATCCAGATTGATCAGTTTCTCTTTGACCCGAAGGAAGGGCATCAGGAGAAGGTTCAAGTGAAGAATACGGATAGTACCACCAAACACACAAGTAGTAAGAGTAAGGGACACTACGAGTGTTACAGTTGTAAGGCAAGAAATGTGTACGCAAATGTGCAGTGCCGTAAGTGTAAAAAGTTGAGGAAGATTTAAGACGATCGGGTGGAGGGGCGCTCAACCATGTGCAAGGTGTGAAAAGTTCTTTTGCGAGGGGTTCCTTTCTCTGTCTTAAGAAGAAGAATAGGTAATGCGAAAAGAACTCACAGTGAATGAACAATGGCCCCTTCGTTTGACCAGTTGACTGCGCAGCCCCATTTTGTAAGTCCCAATCGGGAACGTGGCTGGGAAGATGTTGTACAAAAAGTGAATTCACCTTCACAGATATAAGATACAATAAGGTTTGCGTTTCGGTGAAGAAGGAACTGCTTTTAGGTTGTTTCCTTTCGTTTGTTCATTTTGTTTGTTTGCTTTTTTTCTTTTTTGAGTTAAGCGAAAAGGACGAGCCATTTGCTGGGGTGTTTTACTTCCCACTGACAAATTGCACTCCGTTCACAACTGCCTGAACAGGGGGGGGAAGCAAACGAGCCGTACCAAGTTGGCACCCTGGGGGACCCGTCCCCGAGGTGTTTCTCCTCCCAGGGAAAATGCATCTATAGGTAATCATGGCCATGTGTAGAACTGGTGCGGAATAATCGAGTCCTAGGCACACCTCTCGGAATGTATTTATTTCCCCAATAGGGATGGCAGAAAATATGTATTTTTTTTTTTTCACCTGAACGGTTCAGGCAGCTAGCTATTTTTTTGTTTATTTATTTTTTTTACTTGACGCAACTGTTGCAAATGTTAACATTTATAAAAATGGAACTGCGCTAGGGAGGCGCATGCACATGCATTTGAAGAGGAGACAGCCCACTTGGACAGGCAGCATGGGGTGAGAAAAAAAAAAGAAAAAAGGAACGCTGCACGTGAGTCTGCTAGGTGTGGCCCCCCAACGGAAGAAGTGACCCAACGTGCAGAAGCAAACAAAGACCGGATGAGGACCACTACGTTCCATGTGTCCTCCGTCACCTGTTTGCAATGTCCTCAAGAATGAGATGAAGGGGAGAGAGTGCCCCCGCAGGGATGCCTAACGTTTGTGACCCGCTTCTTTTCATTCTTTTCATTCTTTTCATTCTTTTCACTTCTCTGTGTGAGGGGAAAAATCAAGCCGAGCAATCCGCAAGGGACCTGCGAAATTGAGTAAGCATACTTTTATCTGCACTGCGGCGATGGGTCAACCGACCCTTCAAATGGGACGTACCAAAGGGAGAAAGGAAAAAATAAAGTAAAAAAAAAAGAAGAAAAGAAAAAAAAAACAAAACAAAGTGAAGGAAAGCAAAGTAAAAAAAAACAGAGTAACCAACGGGGCGACCATCTAATGGGGCAAAGAAATTAAAAACGCGAAATGATGGGAAGGGAGAAAGTGCTCTCCCTGACTCCGCTGAAGAGGGGAAGAAAAAACACAAGTGCGCACGTGTGTTTGAAGATGTAATCGCGGGGAAAGGTGCGTAGGAGAAGCGAGCAGCCAGAGTGAGCAGTAAAATCGGCCAACCAATCTACCAGCCAACCGACCAACCACTTATCCCCTGAACGTAGACTCCATCCATGAAGCTGCTCTTCCGAAAGCGAGACAACGAAGACATGGCCTTCGGGGTGGTGGCCGAGGAGGACGACGATCTTTGGCATTTGTACAATCTGATTAGCATCCACGACGAAGTCGAGACGTCCACGACGAGGAAGGTACACAAGGACATCGGAAATAATACATACGCCACGGAAATTAGGAAAATGAAGCTCACCCTTATGATAACCAAAGTAGACTTCGACTCAGTCAACAACAGTCTCAGATTGTCAGGAAAGAATATCAAAAACAACGATTATGTGAAAATGGGACAGTATCACACCTTCGAAATAGGACTTAATGAGAAGATAAAAATAAAGAAGAAAAACTGGGACAGTGTGTACAGGGAAAAATTGGAGGAATGTACGAACGTACAGATAAATTCCAAAGTGGCCATCCTGCTAGTGAGCTGCGGAGAAGCTCAAATGTACCTCCTCACGGAGAATCTCTGTAAACATATCTTCACCTTAAACAAAGTGATTAAGAAAAAGAGAGAAAAAAACAACAACTCTCTGTACGCAAAATCGATGTGTGCATTTTTCCAGCAACTCCTCCTCCAGTTGCTCAAAAATGTGAATATACAAAATATGCAGTGTATCGTTCTTGGGGGACCCGGTTTTTTTAAAAATGACTTCCTTCAATTTGTGTATGAAAAATCGGAACAGAAAAATGATAAAGACGTACTTAGCATTAAGTCCAAGTTCCTCATCGTGAAGACATCCAGCATCAACAGAAATGCAGTGAACGAAATCCTGAGTGATGAAAAAATAAAGAAACAGATATTAAACATGAAGGTCGTTTCTCATATGGATGTCTTAAATAGATTTTACAAGTTGTTCGATAAATGTGAAGAGAAAATTTGCTACGGAGAGGGTGACGTCAGATATGCTGCTTCGTTGCAGGCCATCGAATCTTTGCTTATTACTGACCGCACCTTCCGAAACTGTGATGTGGTGACTAGGAAAGCATACGTCGCCATGCTTCGCGACGTGAAGAACAGCGGCGGCCGCGTGTTCATCTTCCCCGACAACCACACCACGGGCGAGCAGCTCAACGCCCTCACGGGCATCGCCGCGATTTTGAAGTTCCCCGTCTACGCGCAGGAGGGGGAGCGGCAAGAGGAGAAGAGGCAAGAGGAGAAGAGGCAAGATGAGTAGCGGCAGGAGAAGCGATAAGACGGGCAGAACTGATCAGCCGGATGCACAACGCTGCGCGGCGCCCCAATTTGTGTTGCCAATTTTTTTTTTTTTTTCTTTTTTTCGTCCCCCCGAACTCGTGCACACAGCGTAGGCGATGGTTGGGTGAGCAGCGGGTTTACGCCTCCCCCCGCGGAGGGGTCTGGCCCGCCACGCTTCCCCTCTTACATAAAAAGGTTGAGGGGTGTGCTCCTTTTTCCACCAATTTGTCTTCCTTTGTTAATGCCTCCCCCGCCGAACTGGACCCTTAACTTTTTTTTTTTTTTCATTTTCTCCTAATTCATTTTTTGCATTCTTATCATCCTTCTGTTGTCTCATGCCTGCATTATTAGCTCGCTCACTTGGGCTCATTTCATTTTCTCCTAAACAGAACAGTTCCGCGTGCATTTCGGTACAGGGCAGGGAAGTGCTTACTTCATTCGCAAAAAAGTGGGAAGAAAAACGGGGAAAATTGCGGGAAAGGAATGCGCGGAAATGCGGAAAAATACGGGGAAAATTCAGGCGACATGTACCAAACGGAGGAAGGATGACGCGCAACACATGGAAAGTAAAGTGTATCTGTGCGCGAATGGCCGTTCGGTTTGTTCTGCATCTTCTGATTCGTCCGATTCGTCTGTTTCGTCTGATTTGTCTAATTCGTCTAACTCTTCCATTTATTTCTCTTCCCACGCGCCTGCCCCCTTCAAAGGCAAAGTCGCCGCGGCACGGCACGAGTGCGACAGGTGCGAAGGCAACGCAGCACGTTATGCAGCACGTCAGACAACACGTCAGACAACACGCTACGCGTCGCCCACCGCCCAGTCGCAGTGAAATTCTTTGCCGCCATCGCCACCACCAGGGGGGGGCGCGCCCTAGTATGCACTTTCACATGAACGTAAGAAAAACGCTCATAAATAAACGCTCATAAATAAACGCTCATAAATAAACGCACATAAATAGACGCACATAAATAAATGCAGATAAATAAATGCACATAAATGTGTGTGCATGAACTCACACCTGAGTTGTAATTAACCTGAGCGCAGACACCAAGGCAGACACAGAAGAGGACACTGCCGCGAAGGCGAAGGCAAACGCACACATATGCCAATGCGCGCACAGCGAACTACCCGTCGCTATACACGGGGCCCGAACTGAGAGCTGCCCAGTTTTTTTTCTCAAAAAAAAAAAAAAAAAAAAAAAAAATCCAGATCTGTAGAGAAAAAAATGAAGCGGAGCATCGTCCTTTTTTTATTTTTGCTCATCAAGGTAGGTGTCCTGTTGGGACCCGCGAACGGTGCGTACCATCTGAAAAGGGGAGGCGTGAACATGGAGGGGGAGCAACATGTGCAGGGGGAAGGGAAAGTGGCCGCGGGGAAGGAGGCAGTCTGCCCCATGGCAAGTGCGAAAAAGGGGGGGAGCGATCAGAAGAGCAATATGATCACGAGTAACACGCCAGAGAAGGACGCGGAGGACACTGAATCGGGGGAAGACATATCGGATGACACGTCGGAGGGGCTGGAAGACGCAGGTGTGGAAGAGGCAGCCGCGGAGGAGGCAGCCATGGAGGAGGAAGCCATGGAGGAGGAAGCCGCGGAGGAAGCAGCCGCAGAGGAGGTAGCCAACAAGGAAGCGGCCGATTTAAAAGAAAAGCAGTACAACGAAATGAAGCAGCGAAAGTGGAAAGCACACCACGGGGCTGTGCAGGCTTCAGAGGTGTCTCCCAAGAAGAATGCGATGCCGGTCAAGGGGGGGGGCAGCAAAGTGGTGAAGGCGCATAGCGGTGGTAACTCCAACGTGGTAAACGCGCTGAAGTCGATTGAGAGCCACGACAACAGCTCGGAGGGCAAGAGAAAAGGCAAAGGGGAAAAGGGAACAAACGAAGAAAACGAATCCCTGTACGAGGAGAAGAGACAAAAAATACTGATGATTCATCTCTTAAAAACAATTAAAGAACACTTAGACAGACAGAAACAAAATTTTAACAGTTTTTTGTCTTTCCTAAGTGAATCTTATGCGAGCTACGAAAGGTTTCATGTCTTCAAGAAGGTGAATGATATGTATAGTGGGGTGGGGGAGGAGATGGCGATAACGTCGCAGTCGTTTTTGAGTTTACAGGAGGAGAGCACACCCAGGTGTGGTAAGCAGAACGTGGGTGGTGTGCTTCGAAGCGGCGCCAAGGCGGCAGCGATGGGCCTGAATAATGGGGGTAGCAGCAGTAGCGGAGGTGGAATGGATGAGGAGAGCGAGGAAGAGGAGAAGGAAGACGCGACGGAGGATGAAGAGGGGGAAAACCAAAAAAACGAAGACGCAGCACAAAAGGGAGATGCGCCGCAAAACGGAGACAACTCAGACGGTGGAAAAATCCCGGGGGAGAATCCCACCAACACTGATGACCAGGACAAGGACGCAAAGAAATCGTCGGAAAAAATGAAACAAATTAAAGGCTTCCTCTACGAAATGCTGCAATCGGAAGAGCTAGGCCCAAAGCAGAAGGAGTACCTCCAGGTCATTCTTCAAATTCTGACGTTGGAAGACGATCTGCTACAAAAGGAACAGATGCAGGTGCAGCTAAACAAGAAGATTATTGACGTCTTGTTGGGTAAGTCAAATGAACTGAGAGACATTGCAGTGCATCTGAGTAGAGAAGGATCGGGAGAAGCAGAAGGGAACCAGAGAGTCGACTTGGCACAGAACATCGTATCGAATTTGCTGAACTTCTCCGTCGAATTAAAGAACACTGGAAATATTGTCTATAATAACATACAAGGACAGGGAGACCTTCTTCAGAGCATCGAGAAGAGTATTAATAAGGCAGAGGACGGATTGAAAAACGTGCGTGTGCATACGGAGTATAAGGGGAGGAAGAAGGACGACCCCACCGTCGACCCCACCGTCGACCCGAGTAACGACCCGAGTAACGACGACCCAAGTAGTAACGATGTGGTACAAAACAAGGGTGGCGCTACCACCTCGAGAGATGCTACTAAGTCAGAGTTCCTTCAGTACTGCGACGCTGGGGAGGCGGAAGCCAATTCCACTTGTCCGTTTAAATCTGTGTCTTCCTCCAAGAGTGGATCCGCTGCGATGAAGCAGAGCAGCGGAGGGGACCTCCAAAAGGACTCAGCGAGTAAGGGCACCAAGAACAAATTCACCCTGGATGAAACAATGAAGAATCACTTCTTCAACAACTTCGTGAAGGACTCCGTCACGCTGAGGAAGCTCTACCGCCTGCTCTACGACATGTTCTAGGGTCGGTCGAAGTTAAGCAGCGGAGTGGCACGCACACCAAGAATAGTGTTTTCTGACCCGTCTTCATCTCTCCATTCACCTTTTTGTCCCGTTTTTTTAACCTTCACCCGCGCACGAGGTGTTAGGACTTGTGTTTTGTTTTTTTAGTCTTTACGTCATTTTGGTGAGGCACTTAGCTAGGCCATTCGTTTCTACAGCTTGTCTCCACAATTTGTCTCCACAACTTTACCTCATGACATGGTCGGTAACGTCACCGCTTCATCACTTCATCACCACCGCTACAACCCGCGCAGCAGCTGATCCACCTGCGCCTGCAGCGCGCGGATCGTCTCGTCCAGCCGCTTTATCTTCCGGGAGTCGTCGCCGTCGTCCTGCACGCCACGCCCCCCTCGGGCGGCAGTTGACAAGGGGGACGCGGTTGCCAGGGGGATGGCCGTTGACAGGGGGGACTCGGCTGACTGGGGTGACCCTTTCGCCGCTCCTCTCCTATGCACACCACACCTCTGCGAAACGATGTCCCTGTTGAGCTCCCTGAGGAAGCGAATCTTCTCCTGCAGTTGCACCCTCTGGTTGTTCTTTGCCTTAATGGAAGACTCCGCCTTCTGGAGGAAGTTCTCCATTTTCTTGTTCTGGTTCTCCACCTGAGTAACCGTATCTCGCACGATCTTCACGTTCCTACTCTCCATGTCGATTCGATTCATATAGCTGCACTGCAGTTCGATGAGGCTGTTGTTATAAACGTTCGCTTCGTGAGACAGCAGGGAATACAGGCTGTATAGCAGTTCGTTTTTCAGTCCATCACTGATGTAGGCGTCGTCGGTGAAGATGTCATAAATCTTGTTGTAGATGCGGCTGTCGTAGTTGTCCTGGAGGTGGGCGCCGTGCATGTCCTGCATGTAGTAGTTAACGTGGCCGAGGCATGCCTCCCCCTCGTCACCGTAGTAGAGGTCATATTCATAGTCCACAAAATCGCCCCTTCCTCCTGAGGGGGAGGGTTCATCGACACAGGGATGGAAAGAGTTACAATTGAGTAGACCGCCACTCGGACCACTCCCTCCACGCCAGGCACTGGCCAAGTCACTCTGATCATCGTCCATCTTGTCCTCAATAAAAGCCTCCCGAATGTAATTCCATACTTTCTTCGTCCTCAAATTGAGGCAGTAGTGGTGATTATACATGGTGCTGTGACATTTGGCGTGACTCTTCTGGTACCTACCGCAGCCGATGTTGGCGCACGTAAGGCACAGCCATATGTCGTCCACGTTGTTGCAGTGTCTGCACTTGAGGGTGTTTGCTACTTGTCCTAGCCTGCTTGGAGCATCTCTGGCGGGGGGAACCTCTCCTCGCGTTATGCTCTGCTGAATGGTCTGCTCATTGGTCTGCTCTACCGAGTGTGCCACACCTTCCGGGGTACCTTTTGGCGTCCCCCTCGGCGTGGCTATGATCGCTTGACCCCCCCAAGGCTCCCCCACCAACCTCGACACCGAGTCGTAGAGAAAAATAAGAGAGCACACATTGCAGGACAGGTTCACATAATCGTGGATCTTCCCCCCCTTGCCCTTTTCTCGGACGTGCCATTTTCTGCTCCTCGTCAGAGTAAAGCACACCTCCTCGCACAGCAGATCCATGCAGAGCGGACAAGTCGATATGCACGTGTTCCCATCCGTGATTATGCATTTTTGAAAGCTCTCAAAGTGGTTTATATCGAATGGGTCGTCGCGGCTGAAAGGGAGAAGATTCGATACCCCGCCTGTCTCCTTCGAGCCCTTCTTCTGCTCACTAACCTTTCCCTCGCTTCGGTGAAGCGGTTCGGATATTTGGGCCAACACATCAACGTCCACCTGACGCGCCTCCACTTCTCCATCCACAATGTAGTACACCAGACTGACAAACGCGCAGTAGAGATACCAATCAGGGTACCCCTTCTCATCCGCTACATTCACCAAACTGTTTTTCCACTCTCCCTGTCGACTCTCCACCAAGTGGTGCAACCCTGTACAGTGATACTCACTATAAAACATGTCGGCGTAAATCTGTGTTTTGAAAAAAATAAGCACGGAGTAAGTTTTCATTTTTTTCTTCTTTTTTAACCTCCTCTTTACCAGGCTGTGCATTCTTTGGTACATGGCCGCTCGTTCGACTGCGTATGGAGTGATGAACTCTCCATGGTGATTGTCTTCACTACACCCTGTGGACTCTCCATGTTGGTTGTCTTCACTACACCCGCTGCACTCCTCCCGATGGGTGTCCACTTTTGCTTCTTCCCCCCTGGGCCACTCTTCTTCATCCAAGAAGGAGATATTACTGCGTACATAGAAGACCTTTATCTGTGCTATGAAATCCGTGTAAGCACTGATCAATCGGTAGAGGTGGTCGAAGGGGAAGTGTGTCGGCAGGGACAGAATGAACAACATGTGGGATCGATGCAGGGGTAGGTTCACTCTCCTGCTTTTATCATCGTCGTGCGGCTGAGTATCCTTCGGGTTAATGCCTTCCTTTGTCCATTTCACTGAGGTGCCTCTTTCCCGTTTGTCTTCCCCCTTCTTGCTATTCGTTTGATTCCGTCGTGTGTCTTCATTTTCCGCTCCGCAGCTTCCCCTCTTCTGGGTAGGAACAGCGGCGGGGGTGGCGGCTTCCGCGGCCGCCACGGAGGCAGCTACGGAGGGGGTTATGGAAGTTGTTCCTCGTTTGTGGCCCTCCTCGTCGTCCTCCTCATCCTCCTCTATTAAGTACAAATCGAAATTCTTTTCTTCATTTACGTAGAGCTGCAGAAAGGAGGCCGTATAATGCTGCACCTTTGGGGAGCCTCCCCCCTCTTGAGAGAGCTTCTGCTTGACGAGTGCCCTTTCGTCACTCACTTTGTCCAATGTTTCCGTGTTGTTGTTCGTGCTGTCGTTCGTGTTGTCGTTCGTGCTGTCGTTTGCCTTGTCGTTCGCCTTGTCGTTCGCCTTGTCGTCCGTGTCCCCATTTGTGTCACCCCTCTTCTCTTCCCCATGCTTTGAGATTTTGTTTCCATTTCGATCGTACACATTTTCGAAGAGGGTTAGAAGGCTGTTAACATGGCTGGAATGCTCTTGTGTATAGATGATTAGGTGAAACATTATCTCCTTTTAGTGGCAATTTCATTTGGGTATTTCTTAATCGGGGTAGGAGAATGTAAAGATACGTCTCCGCAGGGGTGCCCTCACAAGTGTGCGCCTAGATAGATATACATACACGCTCGGATGGACGGCATCATTTTTTCCCCATTGATTTGCCTGAACGGGTCAGCAAAAAAGCTGCATATTCGCGTGGTGAGCAAATAATTTGCACATTCCCGTGGTAAGCAAAATGGTACACTTGAGCGCGCATGGACAAAATGATGCATTCACGTTGTCCTTGCTTTTTTCTCTCCTAAAGAGGAGTGTAAATACTTCCCGTCTGTTCAACTCCACAAATGGTCTTATATATCATACGTTCTGCTTCTAATCCTCTGGTTGGCATAAACTGGCCCCTTCGCATCGCAGGTAGCCAAAATGGGAAAATAACAAAAAAAAAAAAAAAAAATCTCCAAAGTTGTATGAACAAGTCAGAATTTTTACATTCAAATGTAGGACGTAAAAAAAAAAAAAAAGAAAGAGAAAAGAGAAAAAAAAGGGAAGGGTCCTTGTTTACCCCTTCCGTCGCAAATAGAAACCTCCCATGATAAATGATAAGCGATACGATGACTTAAGATGTAATCATCTCCTTTGTACAACTTCACCTTCTTTTTTTTTTATTTCCTTTTCTACCTTCCTGGGTGGTGGTCACAACGGGTTTCCACTAGAACGGAGTAACCCAATTTGCAAACATGTTCAGTTAGCAAAGCGTTGTTTTGTTGGTATTTTGTTAGGATGTTGTTCGTATTTTTTTCTTTTTTTTTTTATTTTGACTTCTTATGGCACTTCTTCACCAGTTGGTCGACTGAAGGATGGGTGCGGCGTGGCGGAGAAGCATAGCAGAAGTGAAGCCTCCAACACAACAGGGGTGTTCCATCAAAGGAGAAAAAATTGAATCAATCAGTCAGCGAATGAATCATTGAACGAATGAGTGGATGAGTCCCAATTTATCGTCACCCCATCTTGTGTATGCACAAACTGCAACAACGTTAGGGTTAACACTGGATTGCGTTCAAGCGAGGAGTTTCTCTTCTTTTTTTTTTTTGTTTTCTTTTTCGCCTCTTTCCCCCACGGATATGGTTCGCATTTTAATCAATGGCCTTACAAACTGCCTATCTATGAAGCATCGCTCCGAACATATGCGAATACGCAGCATAGCGGCATTCTGTATAGATACTCTGGTGCTTGGGCAAACGTTCGTACGTGTAGCAACGATAGTGGTAGTCTTGTGAACTGTTTTGTGTTTTCCTCATAAGTGATCTACCCGTGGCCGCTCTTCCGCAGGGTGAAGCGACCATCGCTAGGGCTACATCCATCCCTGCCACGTCTTTTCAAGGGGCGCACTTCTACTAAGCAGGAAGAGGGCCACCCAAGACGAGCCCAGTTGGTAATTCCAAAGTCGGCAACGGTCCACAGGTAGTAGAAGTGGAGTTTGGCTAAAGTTTGTAACGTTTTTTCTTTTTTCTTTTTTCTTTTTTCTTTTTTCTTTTTTTTTTTTTTTTTTTTTTCCCTTTGAACATGGCACCAAAGAAGAAGGAAGAGGAGCAGAAGGTCCTGCTCGGAAGGTAACTCTCAGTTTGTCGTTTCGTCGTTTCGTCGTTTCGTAGTTTCTCAGTTGGGAAAGTGCCCCATGCGTACACACATAGGACATTTGCGTTTGGTGAACCTCGAATGGTGTCGCCGCATGGCCGTTTGATGAGAGTCCAGCGAGTGCCTCCCTCCGCATAAGAAGTACACACGTGATTTGCCCATCTTTTGTAGGCCCAAGAATACCCTCAAAATGGGATTAGTCGGCTTGCCCAATGTTGGTAGGGACTTGGCGCGGTAGCAGCAGTGTGTGTAAAACGCGTCGTTGTGTTTTTCTGCTATGGGGGCGCACGTTTGGTCTGCTAGCGGCGCGCAGATTTGTTATACCTCCCACTCTGGTGGCTCTCCCTAGGCTGCTCCGATTCCACCCTTCTTTTCACCGCTCCCCTTCCACGCGCAGGCAAATCGACCACGTTCAACGTGTTGACGAAGCTGAACATCCCCGCGGAGAACTACCCCTTCTGCACCATCGAGCCGCACGAAGCCAAGGTGACGGTGGAGGACGAGCGGTTCGACTGGTTGGTGAGCCACTTCAAGCCGAAAAGCAATGTGCACGCATATTTGTCCATCTTCGACATTGCGGGGCTTGTGAAAAATGCACACCTAGGAGAAGGCCTCGGAAACAACTTCCTCTCAAACATAGCAGCAGTGGATGGCATATATCACGTCGTGCGTGCATTCGAAAATGAGGACATCATACACACGGAGGGGAACATAAATCCCGTGAGAGACATGGACATAATAAACTCGGAGCTGATTTACAAAGACATAAGTCACTGTGAGAAGAATTTGGAGGAAGTCACGAAGGTGTTAAATCGAAACAAGAAGGACAAGATAAAGCAAAATGAACATGACGTGTTGACAGCCGTGTTGAGCTTTCTCAAGGAACATAAATGGATAAAGGACGGCAATTGGAAGAGTTCAGAAATTGAAGTGATTAACGAGTTTAACTTCCTGACTGCGAAGCCAGTGGTTTATTTGGTCAATATGAGTGAATCCGATTTTATTCGTCAGAAGAATAAACACTTAGCCAAGATTTACAATTGGGTACAGGAGAAGAACAAAGGGACGATCATTCCGTATTGTGCAGACCTGGAGCTGAAGTTGCTTTCCATGAGCGAAGATGAGAAGAAAACCTATTTTGAAGAAAACAAGATAAAGCAGAGTATGCTGAATAAGATCGTAAAAACTGGCTACTACGAAATTAACTTGATTCATTTTTTTACGTGTGGGCCCGATGAAGTTAAGTGCTGGACGATACGGAAGGGGACAAAAGCGCCACAGGCCGCAGGGGTCATTCACACCGATTTTGAGAAGGGCTTCATCTGTGCGGAGGTGTACAAATACACGGACTTGGTGGAGTTCAAGTCGGAGGGGGAGGTCAAGGCCAACGGCAAGTATTTGCAGAAGGGCAAGGATTACGTCGTGGAGGACGGCGACATCGTCTTCTTCAAGTTCAACGTGTCTTCCTCGGGGAAGAAGTAGCGGTGAAGCGGCGGTGTACGAGTTACTATAACGGTTGCAACGTCACAACTGCGGAGATGCTGCGATGCGGCTCCTGCGACGGGGCTGATGCGACACTGCTGATGCGACACTGCTGATGCGACACTGCTAATGCGACACTGCTAATGCGACACTGCTAATGCGACACTGCTGATGCTCCTGCTGCTGCTCCACCTCAACCTTTCGAAGTCGCCCGACCGGCAATAATTTTACGCATTTTCTCAGATCATTTACTCTACATTTTAAAAATCGCCTGACCGGGCAATATTCTTTTGCACAATTTTGCACAATTTTGCACACTTTTGCAAACTTCTGTACATTTTTTTTTTTTTTTAACAAAAATTATCAGTTTGGCTAGCTGACCGCTTACAAAAAAGACAGTTTGACAAATCAGCGGCTCCACCAACGGAAGGCGCGAAAATGGGGGTGGCATGACTCAGGGTGATGAAGCATTTCCAGCGACCCCCCTGTGTGCAAAAATTGGGACTCAAGTGGAGTTCTCCACGTACGGAGACACGTAAACATCGCACGGATATGCAGACCGCTTCTCACACCTCAGTGGATGTACTTAAAGAGAAACTTCCTGTGGAAGGCCGTGCGCACGGTGTCGTTGATGAAGGTGCTCTTTTTCTCCTTCTTCTCGCAGGTATTTCGGAAGATGGCCTCCTCGGTCCACTTTCGCTTCCTGCTCACGCCTTCGCCCTCCTCATTGTCGCTATTATCCTCCAGGTTTATGAGGGGGTTGTTCGTAAGCACATTGTTCTTTCTGCTCTGCAGGAGTTCCTGCTCCTGCTTCTCCTGTCGCTGCTTCTCCATTTTCTCTCGCTTCAGATTTTCGAGCTCCCTCAGGAGTTCATTCTCCTCCTCGTCCTCCGACTGTTCCTCAGAGGAGTCATCCGAAAGGTCATCCGACGAGCCATCAGATGAGCCATTTGACGAACCATCTGACTGACCACCCTCTTCACTGCCTTCTTCCTGTGGATCTCCTTTCGTGCGACCCTTCGCTGAATCCTTCCCTCGATCCTTCCGTTTCTCTTTTTTTCTCCCTTTCCTCCTGCGCGACTTCCACTCCTCCTCCACTTCGTCATCCTCGTCCTCCGGAAACGGGTTGGTGTAATCATGGTTGGTGAGTTTTTTTATATTCTCGATGGCTAGCAGTCTATGGCTGTTATCCTTCTCGATAGCTCCGCCTTCGAGCTGAATGAGGTTATTCTTTATCACTTCCTTGTCCTCAACGTAATCGCTCAGGTCTCTGGTCTTCATTTTGGTGTGCCCTGGCAAGTCCCTGCTGCAGACCTTGGCCGTTTGGCTCACTTTCCGGTTGCCACCTGTAGGGAGAGGGAGCAAATGGCGAGGTGGAAATGTGACGAAATTGGAAGGAGCACAGATGGGGCCCTGCTATGATGTGCCGCCGTGTCGCTACGCACCGCCATGAGGCTCCTCACCCCCCGCGGCGTCGGCCTTACCCTGGTTTTCCCCCCCGATGGCGTTGTACCATGTGGGTCTGTGTGCGGTTGTCATTTTGGCTGCTTCGCTGGGGGATGGACGTCAGGCTAAAGATGAACCCAGGCTAAGGATGAATACAGGCTAGGGATGGCTCCCGCCCCCGGATGGATGTGCGTGAGGAGAGACAAGTGCTATTTAACCCCACGCTACGCGAATGTACCAGGTGTGCCTGTACATGTGGTTGTGTATGTACCGGCGGCCGCGCCCTCTGCCAAGTGGAGGGAGGAACGCTAAACGGAGAGAAGCTGTTTTGCCTTTCCCTTGGCCGCGCTTCACCTTTTGGCAACACGTTCCGCAGGGGGCAGCATAGATGAAGCCTTGCCGATAGTAGCATAACATACGGATGAGATGTATGCTCTCTCCCCCACCGCAGCTCAAACGGCGGCAATTTTCTGGGAGAAAAAAGGAACGCGGATTGATTAATCGCCGGTATGGCTTCCTCACTTTGGGGCGATCTTACGGCGAGGGGCGATGCGTCAAATTGTCCTCGCCGATGATCAGTTGCCCTTCCGCTTTATTGACAGCATAAACGCGCGGGGGGCAAAATAGGTATACTTATGGTATACCAGCGTGGATGTATTTTTTTTTTTTTTTTTTTTTTTTTTTTTTTTCTACGCGCGGGAAAAGTTCCTCCTTCGCGAAGAGCGACGCGGCTTCCGACTTTGCAAAAAAATGGGAAAAGTTTAAGAGTTAGCAGCAATTCGGAAAAAAAAAAATAAAATAAAACAAATATAGCAAAGGGATGGAAGCGAATGAAGCGAATGAAACAGATGAAGCGAATGAAACAGATGAAGCGAATGAAACAGATGAAGCGAACGAAGCAGATGACGCGAACGATACGGGGGCAGCATCACACGCCCCCCTTTAAAATGGTTCCTGGAGGAGGAGGCGGTGCGTCAAATGATCCTCGCCGCTGAACACGGCGTCCGGATCAAATGGTAAAAATGAGGCGGCGTCCCCTTCCCCGTCTGGTCAATTGTACAGAGGCGTGCTTTGCTGACCCGCCTCCTTTCTCGGTTGCTCTGTTTCTCTGTTCTGTTCTGTTTAATCCCCCTCTGCTGCCTTGCGCTCGGCCGCTCTATCTTTGGCGCTTTTGCGCAAATACTTGGGCACGTTCGAATTTAAAAGGGAGTCGTTTTTTTTATTTTTTTTTTTCCTGCTTTTCTTTTTCTTCTTCTTCCCTCCATGGGGGATTGCTGTCCTCTCCTGGAGTGCTGCCCTACGTGCACCTGAGGCATCATCGGACGGTTCGTCATCTGATGAGTGCCCCGTGTGGTGTTTCATCTGCGTGTGGTTGTCTCGAGGGGGTTTGTGGCGAGGCCCTTCACCACGTCCTCCTGCTGCTCCTTTTGCCGCTGCTTTCTCCGTTGCTTTCTCCGCTGCTTCTTCTACCTTGGACTGCCTCCCGTTTGAAGCGAACGGGTTGATCCGTCCAAGCTGGTCCTTCCCAAACGTGATGGTATCTGGGGGTAGCTTATCCAGCAGGGATCTTATTTCATTTTCTCGAACCTGCTTCTTCGTTTCGTATGGGTTATTAACGTACGTATCGATGTTGGCGAGTCCGGCCCCGGGAATGAGAAGAGACTTAATGGAGTACCGTGACCCCACGCAGCATATGTCTTCAAACGGTTGAAATGATACGGAGTTTATCTTATCGCCATACGTGTTGTGTGTTAGGTATAGCTTCGGTTTGCTGAAAAAATTGCTGTAGGTCCTAAAGTGACTGTTTATTGCCATGGCAACCATCCCCGTGTCGCTAACGTCCATCTCGTTAATCACATTATGGGAGCGATTCGATTCAATGAACTGTAGTTTTCTCAGATCCCACAGTTTATACGTGCAATCAAGAGAGGAGGTGACGAGGTAGTTTTTATGAACGGCTACGGCCGAAATGGGAGTAGCGTGGCAGTACAGATCACATACCGGTTTGTCTATATTGGGGGTCCAGACCGTTACGTGTCCGTTTCTATGACCAAGGTAGATGGTTGCGTCGTGTTTGTTCTGCTTCATCACCTTGCAAGGACCTCTTTTCGTTTTTTTTCTCGTAAGGAGGTTCCCCGTGGAGATGTCCTGATAAACCAGTTCGCCAAACTCTCCAATGGAGGTTAATAAAAAATGAAATGGAAGGAATTCCAGCTGATAGGAGTAGAGGATGTCCTTAATACAGTTGACCTCAATCCCTGTGTTGTCGTAGATGTATATATATTTCTTCTGAGCCACTGCAAACAGCTTGTGATTGTGCAGGATGGTGCTGCACCGGACAGATTCTTCCACTTCTAACTCGCACATTGGTTCTAAATTGTGTGTATCGATCAGCGTTATGTGCCCCTTCTCTCCAGTCGCCAGCAGGTATTTTCCATTTCGTGAGTATCTGCATCGGTAGGGTCCCAGATTCAGCCTCAGGTCTAGCACTTTCTTTTTTGTGCCTACGTCCGCTCGGGCGTAAAGTTCTTTCTGCGTTAGGAGCCGCCGTGTCGCTGAGAAGGAGCAAATAGGGGACTCTCCCCCGTTAGTTATCCCATTGGAGGAATACTCCCCCTCGTTGGTCTTCCCATTAGCAGATTCTTCCCCTCTGTTGCTTTTCCCACTGGAAGAATCCCTCCCTTTGCCGGTCTTCCCAGTAGTGGACTTCCCTCCCTTCTTGGTGAGCGGCCCACTTGGTGTCGCCCCCACGTGGTCCCCTGCCAATCGAATGAACCCCTCCTCCACAGGCTTAAACTTCCTATTCGCCAGCAACTTTCTTGACGATAAGATGGCCAGACTGACATCCCTCTTTAGCTTTAGTTTGATTTTTTTATTTTTTATTTTTTTCGTTTTGGGGAAATTCTGGGGTAGTTCCTTCGGATCCACAGCAAGGTAATCGATTCGCTTCTTCTGGAGGCCCTTCTCATGGATGTTTTTCTTTATCCTACTTAGTACTTTCCTGTTGTCTCTTTTACGACTGGCTCTCTCCACGTCGACGTTTATATGTTGCGCTTCCACTGCCTGGGGAGTCACCTCCCGCAGGACAAGGAGCCCGTCGCCCGTACGCTCTCCCTCCACGGAAGGGGAGTCCGCCGAAAGGGCAGCAGCCATGTTCATAAAAGGAACAGAGGAGAATCAAAACGGAATGAATAGGAGTTATTGGCGTGCGTATCTCCTACTTCGCACTGCAGAACGCACAGTTGGTTGGATAGCCTCGCAGTTGTAGCGGGGACGTGGCCTGGGTTGACGCACTACCGGTAATTTCCCTGTCAGACGGTATATCTGTCGAGTCACCCATCACTTCATCGTGTTATCCTTCATTTTGCTTGTTCCGTTGGTGGTTCTGTTCTTGATATTCAGCCTTCTTT